GAAAGCAAGCGCGTCATATGTACCTATAAGCCATGATGTAACTATACCTAGCGCTTAATACGAGTCAATCATCAACTTACGCTGTTATTCTGTGCATGGCCACCTCGAGGAGCAGTGGTATTCCGTAGGTAGTCGTTGTTTTAGGAGGTTGCCTCAACTCAAGGTGGTGGAGGGTGAGGCTCGGATTAGATAACTAATTAACTAACCTCGCACTTTAAACTCCGACGCAAGCCCGCCTCTCCTCGCTCCCCACCTCAGTCGAGCACTTCTTCTCTCCCATCCTCCGTCTTTCTTCCTCCATCAAACATGCGCCTTGCATCCATCCTGACCGTCCTGACTGCTGCCATCACCATGTCTGCTGCAACCAACCCCACTACCACCCCCGACGGCCTCGTCATCGAGACCATCAAGACCGTCGAGAGTGACCGCCGCAGTGTCAATGGCGACCAAGTCAAGGTGCATTACCGTGGTACCTTGCAATCCAACGGCCAGAAGTTCGATGCTAGTTACGATCGCGGTGAGCCATTGGTCTTCACCCTCGGCAGTGGCATGGTTATCAAGGGGTGAGTCTCCCCAGCGTCGTCGTTGTTGTTGATAATTTGCCTGTTGACCCCTCATCCTCGTACTGACTTGCTTTTCGTGTCATAGCTGGGAACAAGGGCTTCTTGGAATGGCCATCGGCGAGAAGCGAAAGCTCACCATCCCACCAAATCTCGCCTACGGAGACAGAGGAATTGGTCCCATCCCCGGCGGTGCCACCTTGATCTTTGAGACCGAGTTGGTGGAAATCTCCAAGAGCGAGCTCTAAAACAATCGACCCAATGCACCACGGATATATAACGCCTATGCCTGTCACAGCCTCTGGATTACCTTATTTTGGGTTGCAGAGCTCGGACTCAGAACCGGATAGACAGTGCTATGGCTGCCTCTGTTTAGATCCGGTATACCCCAGCATTGCAATGAGTTCGTACCCATAGCTATGTCTATATGAAATATGATCTAAACTACGGAGACAAATGGTTGAAATAAGTGTAGGAGAGGAACTCCCGTAGGAATTACGTAAATTTTATATGCAAGTCATCTTAGATGGCACCATTAATGTAGAATGTGTTAAGTATACCGATTGTCTAGACTGGGTATCATGCTTCATTATTTACATCTAACAATGAAAATTTTACAACCAAGTAGACAATTACTCAGTCCATCTCATCGAGTTTTCCATCCTGTCGGTCACCAGGAATATGCTCAGCAACCAATATTCCAACCATGCACTCAGCCAACATCCCATCCCAGTTCACCCACGGATGGATCTCAGCAAACAGTTTTTCCGAGTCCTTGCCAGCACCACGAAGCAGCTCTCCTTTCCCACCAGGGTGAAACGGTGCAAATGGAGTAATATTATACACTTTCCCTTGGTACGACGTCCATGCATCTGTCCCCTTACGCCCATTATGCTGTTTTAACATTGACGGTGTAACCCTGATCAATGTAGGCGGTAGGTCTGCGCCTCGAAGATTGTTACGCGGATTAGACGTTAGAGCAGCCCAGTCAAGCGGAGAGTGGCCTGGTTCTAAGATGACGGGCCGAGATGATCGTTTTGGTTTTCCCGGGAGAGGAAGGACGGGGAGCGTGCTCGTGGTAGGACGTGATCCTGGTGGGACGCGGAGGGAGGCTGCGGCTGATGGCGGAGGGCGTAGAGGTGCCCTTAAGGAAGAGGAAGGTCGAGGAGCGGGCGGAGGCGGCGGAGGCATCAACGACGTGCTTGCTGGTGCAGGTGGGTGTTGTTCCGGTGCTTTGACGGCTGGAGCAGGAGGCTGAAGTGTCATCGTCGGAGGCGGTGGAGCCATAACAGAAGGAGTACTATTCAGCTTCGGTGAAGCACCAGGGCTTGCTCCTGAGACGGAGGATGGTTCTACGGCATCCTTCTTCTCTCCGGAGATAGCTTGAGGCTCGTCGAGAGTTACAGGTGGGATGACAGATGCTGGTATCGTAGGCTTTGCCTTTGGTGTCGATTCCCCATCCTGGTCGTCCTCACTAGGTGCCGCACCAGAGGGAGTAATATCATTCTGTCTAGCAGAAGGGAGTTCAATCGAATCTGGGCCTGGGTTGGGCTCATCCGAGTGAGTCCTCCGTCCTGTCAAAAAGCTCCATGGAGAGAGCAGAAATGACCACGACGTTGGTGGGTGTTTGTAGAGAATATAGGATATAGAGGCGATTAGAGCCCCTATTCCCACCCACCCCATGCCAACGCTGCGCCAACCGAGTTACCACCGTCAAGATAATCTGAACCTGAGTCCGTTAATATCATGCTATCCAAGGGCAGAAGAGGCTCACTTCGAACAAACATGATCAGATAAGATGTGCACGTGATAGTTACCCGGACCTCGGGTGGAACTTTTTAGAAGCTAAGACAAAATGAGAATAATGTAGTTAAAAATAAATAATTATTTTATTATATTAGGGGGGTAGCTGGAGTGGAGGATTGAGACCAATTTGATATATTATACACGAGAGATCCAGGAGTCTTCCTTCCTATCACGCTCATTTGAACAGGCGCCCTTCCATAATATCCGAAACAGCGGTATACATTGCATCTGCTGCTGGTGCTGTTCCTTCCTCAGCGATATAATTCCCAGTATTCGCAAAAGCAGTGATTATCTCCCCAGTCGGCCCACGTTTGGGAGCGATAAATACCAAGGCATGATTCAACCTGTTGGACCCCTCATGCCCCAAAGATGGCCCATTAGCCCATGGAGTCGTGGTATCATTGGCATAGATCCAGCCCCCGGGTGTATACAACACTCCATCCGTGGATGGATAAGGTGTATGCAACATCTTAAAGGTTTCCTTACTTATCCCAAGTTTTGTGCGTCCACCGCTGAATCCATCAATATGCATTTTAGCAAAGTTCACATATGATTTGATATCACAGTGGACTGTGCCCGCAGGGCCAAGGGCAGGTGGGTTATCTCGTCTAACCAAAGGACCGCCCACAGGTTCAGGATTAGAGGAAGAATTATAGAAATAATGGCCCCAGGGGTTATCGATGGATGTCTCTGAGGATTGATGGGGGGTCCCAAACCCACACTTCATCCCGAGAGGGTTGAAAAGTTCAGTTGTGATGATCTGCTCCCAGGATGCGCCATTTTCGACTCCCAAGAAATTTTCGACGATCCGGCCGAGAATCACATAGTTGGTGTTATCGTATACGTATTGACCCTTGGTAGTCCCTGGTTCCTTGCTGAGCGTATGATTTATCATTGCTTTCCGGCCTTCAACAGGGTCAAGGTTGTAGAGGCCAAGATAGAAGTCGGGGTCCTTTGAGTAGTCGTCCAAAATGCCTGATCTGTGCGCCCCAAGCATGCCAATGGTTGTATTCCGGTGATCATCATGCATCATATTGGTAAAATCAGGCAGCACCTCCGGGAGAGTGGTGGTCCAGTTAATCAGTCCTCTGTCGACCATCATTCCGATAAGTGTGCCAGTCATTGCCTTTGTAATGGACCCTAGATGGAACTTGTCGGTACGTTTGATGGGAACAGGCTCTGTGTTCTTGCGTCGCCCGGTAACCTCGTACTGTAAATACCCATTTTTAAACAGCCCAACAGCGAAGCCGGGGAGTCTGAAGTCAGCCCTTATCTTTTCTACTGCTCGAGAATTCGGGCCACCGCAGATGGACAAGGTAGGGTTGAGCAATAACAACGCGGTTACTGCGTGGAGTGATTTTACCATCTTAGATGGAATCGGTCACGGAGTTAGCTAATTCTGGCAAGGGTATATTGATGTGTTTTGAGATATTGAAGAGATCATTAGAGAGGGGGGTGGAGGAGCTCAATTTATGCCTTCCATCTGCACGGTACAAATGCTTCATACGAATGACTCAGGTTTGGTCAAATCAAGCATGAAGGATTCGCCAACCCTTGAATGACAATATGGTTCCCGAATATATCGGTGATCTCGGCCAGGTGGTTACGCATTCTATCTGTCAGAAAGAACCTCAACGCTCAGCTTCACTTCCTCTACCTTGTAGAGACAGGGCGTGATGTATGTCAACAGAGTTAGGGCCTGCCTTGGCTTTGGTATATGACAACAGGATGAAGGTATGCTCGGAAAGGTCAAGCTAGGGTAACTAGTTATTATTGTCTGTTGATGCACCACGGGGCACTCGGTGCAGCTTGCATAATATTGGTGCTGCCAGCTGAAGCTCTTCCCCCTTGGCAGCCTTGACGATTGTGACTTTGCATGAAGTAGAGTACGAGGGACTCTGTACATGATATTCACACATTTGCTCGTATTTTTTCCGTTCCTAGGTCGTGAAGAGCACTTTCAGCTTGTCGGTGGGAGCTTCACAGAGTCAAACAGAAGAACTTGATGGCCACAAGCCAATCAAAGAATCGGAAAGCTCGTGTCTATTTTTGGAGATGCCGGCTCCTGACTCTTCCATAGCTCCGTATCAATTATCAAACTACGAGTCCAAAGAATGTCTTCATGGCTCTTTGATGCTTCCACCGTCAAAGCCCGTAATTTGATAAACCGACGTGCAACACCTCTGGATTTTCATACGACGCTGCACTATAACAACAAAGGTGACCGTTGTTATGCAGGATATCAATATCACAAAGCGAGAGCATCAGCGCAGTTATCTTGCTTCATAATTTGGCAGATGGGATCCCATATACCTCTCAGGAAGGCTCCCGAAGCCTCCAGTTGCACTCCATGTACGGAGTACCCCAACCACCAACCGGATATCCATAGCTACCCCAAGGTGCAGGCCAGCGTTTACTGCAGTTAACTAATTGAATTAGTTAGCGCAACAGTCGATACTTCAAGAACGGGAACCGCTACACAATACCACGCATTAGTTACCAGGCCTAGTGAACAACAATCTTCTAGCTTGAGGCCTGAAACATAGACATAAAACATCGCAAACATGCCTTGCAGGGTGATGTGACCGCCCAAACTGGGGCTACGCCTGAGATGAGAAGAACTAAAAGTCCACAGCGTCCCACATGATTGATTCCCCATGGGGGATCTTCATCCAAAGATGCACACGGACCGCCGCTTAAAAGTTAAGATGATATAGACGTAACGAAGAAGACAGTTATTCACCATATACAACATGCGAACATGCGGACGTTGAAGGGTCCTGTGTTCGGGTAACTAATCGCTTCCCCCCCCCTTGCATTGAAGACACGCGATCGACCGGCTTGGAGATATATATCAAGGCACCAAAGTCCTCAGCGTGTAACATCAAGTAAATAAAATACCTCGCAGTCCACGGTTCTAACATAGACACTACGCCACTAATTTCCCAATGCTAGCCAAGAAACTCCTTGTTGCGCGTCTCATCCCCGTTACCGCCATGGCTGACACTTGAATGTCGTTAGTTGTTACTCTTGGCCAGCGTACAGGGAACTACCAGCAGCAGGAAGTGCGGATACAAGCACCACCACACCCCCCCGCAAATCGTTGAAGATCTACCGGCCCCTTGAAGCAGTGCTTCATTAGCTGCAGCAAGAAACTGGGCGAAATCGAAAATATTTAGCTGCAGCTGCGGTCTGTTAGAGCCGGGCGTCGAATGCACTACAGGGAATGAGGGGGGCTTGGTGAGACGCAACGGCGACAGAAATGAGGAGATTTGGTTATGGGCTGATGTATACGTGTGATGTGAAGGAAAAGTACAGCGATTGTCCATGTTCAAGCAGAATTCGATTTGTTAATTGTAATTAACTAACCGGTCCCCCCTGTCCAAGGTATCAGAGAGCAAACGGCATGCTATATCGGCAGGACACCATCACCATCCACGTTCTTCCTTGTAAATGTTCATTGGTGTCGTCAATACATCTGGTAACAAGAAAACTCACAAAACTCCAGTCCGTAGTACTTTTCAATAAAATCGACTGTACAAAATATAACAGGTAACCCTTTCTTTTAACCGTGATTAAAATGCAGGAGAGGGGGAATAAAGAACAAAAAAAGAAAAAATATCAAACAAGAAGGTCATCATGAAAAGGTGTCACCCCTAAGCCCATTTTCCGAGTAGCGCCATCAGCAAGGCTCCAAGACACAACAGGCCGAAAGCAGACAAGACAGTTCGGATGGGTGCCCGCCGCATGGATGTGCTGAACATAAATTCGTGGGCCATCAGCTCGACTAGTGACGTGTACACGAGAATGCCGGCCGAGATAGAATCGAATATACCGTTGACAATGAGTGTTGTGCGGCCCTCCGGAGGGTAGGAATTGCGCACACCCAGGCCAATGGCGATGGCAATGGGTGTCGATAGGCCAAAGGCGATCGCCAGGAGGTAAGGGGTGTGTCTCTTTGAGTTGGGCCATGGGATAGTGGCGAGCCGAGAACCAAGGCCGAGACCCTCGAAGGTCTGGTGGAAAGAAAGCACAATAAATAGTGTTTTGAACTCTTTTCCAGCAACGGCAAGGGTGAGTCCTATGAAAATTGAGTGGAAGATGATGCCGAATTCCAGGATGAAGACAGAAGTTAGCTGTGCGCTGTAATCTTCTAGTAACGCCATATGAGAGGCCTCGACAACATCAGAGCCGCCGTCCGATGGGTGATCCTGGGAGTGTCCAAGGTGATCGTGGTCATGGCTGTGGTTGTCTGAGCCATTAGCCGACTTAGGCTCGGCAGTGACAACGCCTGTTTCAACCTGGCGTTCCGGTTTCGGGTGGTCATGGTCATGGCCGAAACGTGCATATCGAATGACCATCAGCTCAACAAAGAAGAGGACGATGATGGTCATGAGCATGATGCCTTCGACCCAGGGGTATTCTTTGATGGGGCCTGTTAAGCAAGGATGGGAGAGTGCTTCGTGTGCAGGAGCCATAAGGTGGATGAAGGACGTCGCAATGATGACACCAGAGCCAAAGAATTTGGCGACGAAGAACACCCATGGAGGAACCTTGGATTTTGAGGGTGAATTGGGGTCGCGCCTAGCAAAGACGGGTAGAATAGCACCAGCCGAGGAGCCAACAAGCATGATGAAAATTGCAACAATGCGCAGATTGAGCTGGCCATTGTAGTCGTTGCCGTTGTTGCAGGCTACAAAGGTGGCATCCTCTTCGCCACCATGCCTCTTCGAGAGAGTAGCAGCTACTAATTGGTCCATGATGTTATATTATCCGCTGAAGGAGTTGGGGACAAGTAGAAGTTGGTGTTGTGCTCTGAGGGGGGAAGGGGTAAAACTATTGAACTGCTCGGATCAAATGAGGCGGGTGAGAAAGGAGGTGATTTATATGTCCAACGGCCAGCTGGGAGCCAAACAAAAAGGAAAGTTGGCCCTCCAACACAACCGGCCCAAAATCAATGAGACTTGAATTAAACGAGAATTCGTTCGATGGAGGGCAGAGGCCGGAAAAAGAAAAGGCAGGGTCGACGATATTGAGGGACTCGTGGCACTTGCACTTGAACAAGGTTGACTGCAGGTATGGTATATTTCCGGACGGCTCAGAAAGCAACCAATTGAGGGTATGTGCTCGCAAGGCCGGCACACTCAAAAGTGTATATATAGCTTCCGGTAGCCAGTCGGGGAGGGCGAGGGCGTTGCGGAGTGGGCGTGAGGCTGGAATTAGTGTCGACTTTCCTGAGGGAGGGTGGGAGGGAGGAGAATGCTCGAGGGGAATTGTCCGTTGTATATCAGATATATCTCTGCATTCTCATGCTGCCACCGTGCATGTACTGGCCCCGTGTGCGTGTATCAGTGTATCCTGCACCCGTCACCAGGCCTCTCACTCTGCTCTTTTGTTCTGCGATTCGACTGCCGCGTGTCAAGGTGAGGGCGCTCCGTACTGGTCGTCCCTCTTCGTGATCAAGAGAGTCCCAACCAGCAGAAAACGAGAAGCAGAAGCAAAAAGAAAGCCATGCATGAGGACCTTGAGAGCAAGGATGACCGAATACCGGCTGAGTAATCCTCACGTGTCGAATCACGGGACGCGGCAAGACAGGAGCGGCTTGGAAGCCTTGGCCACAGCGATCGAGCGGAAGCGACATTGGCTGTATTAAACAGGGAGACAAAAAGGGTCCAGTAGGAAAAAGCACCGGGAAACAGCCAGCGTCAAAGGAGGGGAGGAGTGAGTTTTTGGTAAGGAGATGCATGATAATATACCGCAGATAAGTGCAGCGCAGAGGCAGAGAGAGGAGTAGCCCGTTGGATGATCCGTGATGAAACAGCGTGGATACCCACACACAAGACGAACGGTACGGAGTAGGAGAGGCAGATAAAGAACAGGTTGAAGCTCAAAGAGCGAATAAGGGCAGGAGGTAGAGGACTGGTTTATTAATGGAGCCCGAGCATCTCGCCAGCTTCTGCAAATGACGAGCTTGGGGTCGCTACTGCTGTTTCTTGACCAGCAGCTTCGGGACCAGCTCCGTTTCCGTCCTGTTGCTGTGCGCTGTCAGAAAACTGCAGCTGGAAGGCCATCCCTGCGACGAGAATACCAGGCAAACATCCCAATCCCAGCTACCACCGTCAAAGCTGATGTTATAGCTTCCCGTCGCCTACCCTGGGCGACTAACTCCATAATTTTTTGCTCCCGTTCAGCAGAAACGTTTTCGCTCAGCTGTTGAATGCGCCTGCTGGCCCGTATGTCTCTCACGATTGGGATGGCATCTGCAAGAGACTCTGCAATACTAAGACCGATCCCTGCTATACTTGCTGGCTCAGATTCCTGCCACGGCAGTGTTGTTGCAGTCCGACCAGTATCGACTGATTCAACCTTTCCGCCGTAGCATTTCAATTGGAGCTTCTCAAAATACCTCACCAGTTGCGGCGAATATTTATGCACGCCTTCTCGAAGCCATGGTGACGGCGTCTCTGGAAAAATCGCCAGTGACAGGTATCCCAGTGCCACACAATCTAGACTACACGGCATATCATCATTCAATAGGTATCCTTTCCCGTCCAGTAGCTCTTCCAGTGGGTTCACGAATTCTTCTGTTAATCCATCTAGTCGGATGCGACTTTGCTGCGACGATTTACTTAGGAGCCCACTTATCGTTTCTTGGGATTTTGTAGCAAGACTCTTTGGTATCTGACCTGATGCAGATAGCGTCTGTCGTCCATCTTGTTGCTCCTTTTGCCTCTCTTCTGTTGCATCTAGGTCAAGGTGCGATAGTCCAAGGTGTTCTGTGCGAGCCTTTGCCCTTGATCGTAGTCGAGGCGGCAGTATCCACTGGTTCGGCCATTGCAGAAGGGATCCATATGCAGGTGAAGTAATTGCATAGTAGTTTTCACTCGAAACGTACAGCGAAAGGTCAACTAACGGTTGTCCATAGCATTCAATAAAACTCGAGAAGCTGTATTATCGCTGCATTAGCCCTCAATTCTTGAAAAGCTTCAGTGTTCTCCAGTGTTATGTGGACAAGACTCACGCGATGCAGTCAGCCGTTTCCCGTTCATCCATCCACCTGTTGAGATCCCATTCTCCCCCAGAAGATTGTTTCAAGAAATCAACAATGTTGCGAAATCGACTGATCCATCGTGAGCCTGTCCAAAGCGCAGGTAGTTCATCTATCAAAAAAGGTTAAGTTAACCAGACAAACACTCCCGGGGCGTCCAAGCAAGAGATATAAAAGACAAAAGTTTCGTTGAAGTATTTCGGGTGAGAAGAAATCTTACGCGTTGGTACTCTTCCAGGATCGCTGTCTGCAACCAACACCCATTTGTCTGATCCACCATTATTCGGACCGATAGCAAGAGAGAAATATGCAATGGTGGCCAGGCATTGGGGATCAATCGAAGGTAGGCCAAACGCCGGACCCCAGACGTGTAACTCCAGAACCATGATTAATAATAGTACAGTTGAGAAAGAAGAAAGTATCCAGAAACCCAGCAGTCAGGATGAAGAAAGGAAACTGACGATAAAGGAGAAGAAAAGCTCCTTGACTGCGGCGTCTTTGGCGTTTGACGTTGACGTTGACGTTGACGTTGGCCTCACGCTCAGCTAGGTCCAGCGGCGAATTCAGGCAGGACCATTTTTTTTCCGTCTTTGGAATAACGCCGAAGCTCTGGTCACGTGTCAGGATGATCTGCCATTGACGGGACGACCCATGGATCGCTTCTTCTTAGGACGGGTAGTGAACCATATGCGATGGACGGACGGGCGCTTGACACTTCCGTCAACAACAAAGCGAAAAACCTTTTACCCATAAGTCGCTTCACTGTTCGATACCACGCAGTACTCAGGATGTGCAACCATTTTGTTGCCGGTGAAGTTAGAGCTGTTTGAAACAGCCTACTGTGCTCTCCGCATAACCGTTGATTCACTCCATTCACCCCTTTCATCTAAGTTACTGTGTCAGGAGTGTTTCTACTCCCTTCGCAGAAACGGAAAGTTTTTTGGCATCGAGATTTCGAGTTGCCTCAATCCCATTCCCAGACGCTAGCAGGGAAAGCCGACGCTGCAGCATACCTGAGCACTCCTAGCTATCTACATATTTACAAAAATAAAAAGGTAGAGGAAGGGGGGAGAGGTCATGCAAAGGGGAAACTTTTGCGCTTCGGCTCTCATCATTCATGCATATATATATCAGGTCCAGCCGCTGCCAGCCGTGAAGTTCTCGTACTCTGATGCGAGATCTGACTTAATAGCCATGTGCTATAGCTTCCTACGGAGTCTTGGTATGCATATGTACTTAGAAACGACTGATGTTTTTGCAATTTCTGCTTTGATATTGCTCCTTATAGTCAAAGATAAGGAATGTCCAGGTGACATGTCTTTGAGAGCCCTTGAATAACGAGAAAAAAGAGAAAAGAAGAAAAGAAAAGACCTCTCGCAGGATTGGATACGAGAGTAGGATCACGAATACGCTCGGGGAACCTAACACGACGGCTGGCTTCAACTTCTATTTTATGACTTCCCCCGCAGTTTCATCCTACTTATGCTTCTCGTGCCGTGCTGTCGGGGCTGAGATGTTGTACTGCGAGGGAACTGATCCCAACAGTCTGTCACCCAGATAACGAGGTGATGAGGCTGATTGGTACGGCGACGTACATGCCTGTCCAGCGAGGTACTGCACAGCTGTCATCCAAGCTCAATATGCTCCCAAGCACGCTATCTTCTTTCGATTGGCTATGTGACCGACATAGCTGGCCGCGCAATCTGCATGGTAGAGCAAGGCTACACGCATGAACCAAGTGGTAGCTAGGTAACATCGCCGACAAAGTACCACCACTTGTAGATACTTGCTAACGAGCGACGTGTGATCGGGCTGCGACATTTATCGAGCATGGGGATCGGATATAACTCGCTTTACATGGTCCATGTAAAGACATGTTGACGAGATGTCGCCATGGGCGATGTGCTCCTAGACAACTACAGGGTAGTAAACCTGCAGTTATTTGACCGCCCGGACAAATAGACTGATTTAGTAGTTGAAAGAGAGAGGCGAGAGACACCAAGGCTGCATTGGCTCCCTCGGTGATTATAGATAACCGCCGTCGCCAAATTAAGATACCTGGCCGTCCTGTCTGTTTATGTGCGGGCGCTTGAGGATGGCACGGGCCGCGTGCCCGGCCTTTTCTCCTGCAAGTCATGAGGACCCCGGATGAATTGCAGAGCTGCCAAATTGAAAAAAAAGGGAGAGGTATGGCATGACATATACAAATACCCCAGCAGGATTTGGCGTTGGGCATGCAAGGATGCCTGACTGTGCATATATTGCCTAGAAGACGGGTTATCAAGGCCAAAAACAACATGGGGATACCGAATATCGACTATAAAATCTTGGCGATGAGGTCTTTCTAGGCAATATAGGCGATATCTTCACCTCTGGGAATCGAAGAATTTGGGTTGTCATTGGTGCCTGGTCGAGTAGTAGGAACTTGGCGATAGAAGGACTGACAAGATTATTAGGTAGGAAACCTATATCCAACGTGCAACAATAATGGAGAACAGCTGGGATTTCGTTGGACCGACTGTACGTGTCGGCAAAGAATTGCCCAACAGATACCGATGTTGTTGGGTGATGATATAGAGGCACCAGGGGTGGATTTGTTCACCAACCAACTGATGAAGGACTCCAGCCTGAATCACATAGATTCAAGTGCCATAACTGGACGCCATGAAGGTCTATTGCCATAAGGTAATGAGAAGGAATCACCTTATCCCAACTCATAAAACCCCTCATCCTCACCTCAACCAGGTGTGATCACCAAGAATAGCCTTGATTCTGGTTCTTGGCTTATCGGGGAACGGGGGGATCAAGAGACAAAATCTTGATGCCTAAGTCGCAGCATCGGGAACTGAAGGACGTTCGATATGCTCAACGGGAAATAGCAGCGAGGATCTTCATCCGTGCGTCTCGTCCCCGGGTTCCTGAACCCAAACTCAGATGGAGTGGGAATAAGGAGAAGGAGAAGCAAAAAAAGGAGAGGATGCTGTGGGATTGTCAGGCCAAGCCCGGATGGCCGGCTCAATTCTGGGCGTGTGCTGGCTGGCCCATGAAAAAGCGTTGGCGTGAGCATGTCCTCCCTTGAAGAGGGGCGTTTGCACCAACTCCAGGAAACTGCCTAACTAGTTAGTACTACCATAGTGGGCCGGGAGCCGATGTTTGATCCCGGCACACTGAATAGGCGGGCAAAATTGTGATCAAGCATGAGTTCAATGATTGGGTGTTTACATGTAGTTAATCCACCCGGAATGATTAACTACAGTCTCGTGATTCGTTGCATCAACTCGAAAATTCCCGATAAGTGAACCGCAAACTACGATTTTAAGTATGCACGGCGATCATAGGCTCCATAACATTCCTTGTTAATAAAAGGGAACCAGCTACCAGAAATATCGACGGGGACTTTTGCAGACTGGTATTTGAAATACTGGAGATATATCGAAAGTATTCAGGTATCCTGTTTTGAGGTGAGGGGCTGTTGTTTAGGAGGCAGAGCAGAGGCCACATTTTCTTTGATAGCCCAGGCGACTGAAACTGGTATATTCTTAGTATATAGACAGGGGCGCTACAGAAGGCATACTGTACGGAGCTCTCCGAAGCTCGCAAGGCCTGCTTCTCTCCTGATGAATCGATATCGCCCAGACCTTGCTAAGCACGCCACCTGCATGCTAAGACATGGCCTTTCCCAATACGGCTAAAGGGTGCTGTACGGTACCTGAGAATAAGTTATATTTTAGCTGTAAAATACCGTAACAGTCTCGTTTTTAGTTTAGCGTAGTTACCAGTCCCGCCCGGGTACAACCCTATTTTCAGCCTTAAAACATCGCCCAGACAGGAGAAGCTCGCACCAAGTACCAGCTGCCCCTCCATCCTCACCCGCCGCTCGACCTCACGCGGGCTATGGCATCTATTATATCTTGCATAGAGCTGATGTGAAGTTTACTTTATAGACTAATTATAAGCACCGGGAACGCCACTCTCAACACTTCGGACGTATGCGAAGTTCATATATTTGCGGTAATAATGTTAAACATGCCTTTTGCCGAAAGTAGATCATGTTCTTGGCCGGTTCTCGTCCCTTTGGTGCAATCATCCCAAACACTCGGCAAGCCTAGGCCACATATGACGCTAAGGAACTTCTTGCAACTTTTTAACAAGTTAATGGTTAAGCTCCTGAGGCGTATCTTGTTTCGAGCGTCCTTGGAGAAGCTAAAAAAGCATATTAGAACAACCGTGCCTTCGAGCCTATTCTTAGCCAAAAGCTGTAGGCTACCAACAGCATCGACGGGGCTACCTCTACGAAGAGACATGTGCGAGAGAGACAGCTCCAGATTGGACAAAGACGTGGGAACTGCTCGCACGATCGGGGAAAGGTGGCCAAGTGGAGGGGTTGGGGGAGGGGACTCTGGACGTCTGGCAGTTTGGAACAAGCAGCATTGATTTCCCCAAATATTGAGGGTAATAATAGAGGGAACGGCTATCGATGGTTTGCCAAGTGAGAACCTTCACAAGCCGATAGCTAACGGAAGTATGTACGGTTTCTATGCGACAGGTCACGCTCCATAGTGACGCCCAAACTAACCGTATGAGTGGTGGAACTCGATCAACACCAGCACGGAGAAGCGCGGGCAATCGGAATAACGGTCTAGAGGCAAGCTGGCTAGTTACAAATCGCATCTCATTAGCCGTGTTAAAATTAAACAGTAATTAGTTTAGCTATAACCTCGGAGAAATGGGACAAGAGAGCTAATGTCGGTCACCCGGGACCTTTTTCCCTCTCGTCGATCGAACACCATAGCTTGGTGCGGAGCAGGATCCTACAGGGCGACGCTCTCCGTCTGGGGTTCGCAGCCCTCCAGGAGGCAGCCGAGGCTGGGTGTCTGAGCTAGACTTGTTGCACATCCTTCTCTCCCAACTACGATCAACATACCCAAGGGGCAACCAAACATTTCCCGCCGGAAGCCGATTCGCTTCTAACAGCTACTTAGGTTCATTCACATACATAATATGAAACGAACCGGTGAGAAGACGAATTCAAGTAGAGGAGCTCACAGAGCATCTAGGATAACTTACTTGCGGACTGAGGTTGCTTTCACTTCCGGAAGGCGGAGATCTGGTCTGGCCAGAGTCCCGGGGAGTTCAGAGAGAGAAACCTTTTTTTTTTTTTTGCTTAACGGAAGAAAGCAAAATAAAAATAAGAAAAAGCTAAGAGATAATGCTTGCAGCGTAGCAAGCAGTAACTAGCTGCTTTGGCTGGCGGTTAGCGGACAGTTGCCGAGGATCGAGAATCATATCATTGATGAGGTTATAATGAATGGGATTATGCTGGGAAGCCGAGAAATTCGGCAGCATGGAGGGCATCAATCGACACGTTCCACTGCCAATCAGTGACAACACTTGATAGCTAACACGCCATTACACAGACACCGCGCCAAGATCTAGTCGGCGATGTATATGACGAAACAAACCCATCGTTGAGCCAGCATCATATAGCTGCTATGGAGTTCGTTCTTGGGAGGTGAATCCGGCAGCCCTTTTGTCAGGGCCAAGGCCAAGACGAAGATATGTCAGAGGTTCCCCTTGCACAAAAACACAAAAGAGCTCTTCTCATTGGCTGGCTGGTGGAGCATAAAGGTGGGCAAGAATAGACGAGGATTGGTGGAACATGTCTTACATAACCAGCACTGTGATTGGACGTTCCCTGCCGTCTCTTGCCTGGGTTCCCCCAGCCGCCTGCAGTCTCGCACGTTCGCAAGGCACGATTCGGCGTCTTCGCGCGAATTCGAGGCTGTTGTGAGGAATCTTGGGACTTGGGGACTTGGGACTCTTATCTGTGGATGATCCGTTGGTACGGAGATGTAGTTATAGGATTTGGACGGAAGCAAGGGAGATGGATGGTAGAACGTCTTAGTAACATTAGAACAATTGTGCTGTTTGTCCTAGATAATATGGCTGAGAAAAGAATAGAGAGAACCCATCTGTTCTAATACATGCTGCTTTTCATAGAGTACAGGTTAAGAAAAAAAATATGGTACAAGGGTAGAAAAACGAATAAAGCCGCCCAACACTCCGTAATTCGCTAGAAGATGCGAGTACGATAGGCCTCGTGTCAATAAAAGAGAAAAAAATATGGAAAAAATAAAAAATAAAGGGACAATATAAAAGGAAGTCCCCAAAGGAAAGCATAAAAGACGTAGTATCATCTGATATCAATAATCAACCATTTGCATCAACACCGGCAGCAGCAGCAGGGCGGATATGCACGTCGAACATGCAGGATGAGCCAGGATGGTCGATGCAGTCAGATGACTTCATGCATTCCAAATCAGCCAGTTAGCGGGTTATGCTGCATCGACTCGACCAGGGGCCCAACGGCTTGTTTGCGGTACAAAGAAGCGTACCCAAGAACACGACAAGCCAGACAAGAAAAAGAGACTTCCGGGACAAGAGTAGGGGTGGGATGTATGTGTGCGTTTTGTCAGGTAGATTAGATTCGGGCCGAGTCAATAGTTTCATGCATGGTTGAATGAATGAATCCATTACTATGCTATAACCCTATCTTCTTCTTCCCCTTTCCACCCCATACATCTTGACCTCAAAGCTCAAAAAACTGTGCCCTCCTTGTCCTCGCAGTTTTTTCCTTGTTCACGATCCTCCCAAAAACACCGAAAAGAGAAAGTCGTGGAAAGGAAAAGAAACAACCCATATCGATCATCCCATGAGTGACGCCGACAGCTCCCGCGGTCCACCTCTAAATTGCATGCATGAGGCCTTGTCCCGTCAAAAAGTGGGGAGGAACCAGCCTCGAGCTGCGCTGCTGCTGCTGCGAACTTGACAAATGAACAATGACATGGCATGGTTTTTTTTCTTTTCTTTTCTTTGCTCTCAGCCAGGTAAGTAAGCTTGAAGGAACATTCATTTGCGTTTTGAGCGATTTTGATCGTTGTCTCCCCTTTCTATGCGCGCGGCCCCTAGCCCCCCAACATGTAGAGGGATATAGGGAGTTGGTGCAAGAAAAAAGCTTGTCCGGGTAGTCATCAATTGCCGCAATGCAATGCGTGTCGTTTGCTTAGTGGTGGCTTTTTCTGTCGGGCGGGTACCGGCGAGGCAGATTTGAAAGGAGTCCCCATGGCAGCGCATGCGAAGACGTATGTGTAATGCAATATAGGTGGATCAGGACAGAAGGTTAAGATGGATATGGGCGATGAGCCTTGGTATAATTGTGAGGTATGATGATATACGTTTTGTTTTCCGAAAGAGTCAAGAGTAGGAAAAAAAAAAAAGAATAATTTTTGTGGGAAAAAAAATATACCAGGGATAATGCGATGCATGCAGGGAACAACATAACGAAGAGAGAAAAAGAAACCTAAGCAAGAAGAGGAGCTGAGGAAGAGAGTAGAAGCACCATATTATATAATTGTATTATGCCGAAAACAGGAAAAAGCAGAGAGAAGAGAGCAAAAGGAAAAGAAAAAAAAAAGATATGAAAAAGGAAAAAAAATAACAAGTCGATGCCATAGAAGGCAGGACGATGTATTATGGTCCAACATGGGGTATCTCTAGAGAAATGAATTGCTGATAATGGAAGACGTTAGGGCAGCCGGCTGCCGGGGTAGGTAGGATCGGTAATCTCGATGCACCCATGATGATGATAATGATGATAATGATGATAGTTGTAGATGAGAAAGGTCGCCATGCATTATTTCGAAGTTGTCGAAGTAAAAAGAAAAGTCGATGATTAGGACCATGAGATGGAAGAGGGTGGTGATTGTCTCGTTATGGTGTTTGTGTCTTGTTGTCGTCGTTAAAAGTCTTGATGATGGTCTGGCTGGTTCGTGACGTTTTTTTTTTTTTTTTTTCATTTTTTCACTTTGGGAGAGGCGGTAGAGGGCCCGTTGGTGGTGGTCCAGGGCATGGAGGGAACTGAGTAGCGTATCCGGCCATTGTGAAGGGTGGTGTTTGTTTTTTGGTAGCTCCTTGGGGAGGTCGTTATAGGAGTGTGCTTAGGCAGCAAGTAGGTTGATTTGTTTGATAGTGGTAGTTGTAGTGGTTGGTTGGTGGTATGGTAGGAGGTTATTAAGCGCAGATGTTGGTTTGTAGTTTGGATAGATAGACTTGTTGGCGGTGGTGGTGGCTGGTCTATATAAGATCGCTCTTTTGGATGATTGAATGAATGGACGAACTGATGAACGGTTAGGAGAGGCGGGATGGGCTGGGACGAGATGGACGGCCCTCTATATATATTCCACCGACTTGTAAAAAAAAGAGAGTTGAAGATGTAACTTCGTAATAGTCTGGTACATAGGGCTCAGATCCGCCCATCATGATAAATTAGGGGGCCACCAAAAGGTAGATGCAAAAAAAGAAACGAGAAAAAGCAAAAAAAAAAAACAGGAGAAAAAAGAAACACAAGAAAGAGGAAGTTGAAAAATAAAAAAGAAAAAAAAAAGAAAAAAAAAAAAGAAGGAAAGGAAAAGGGTAAAAGGAAAAAAAAAAAACAAGGGCCAGCGGGCTCCACCTGACAACCCAAGGGGTCCTGTTGGGGATAAGAGGAGGAGAGAGACCAAGAACGGAGACGGGGACGCAAGAGACGAGAACCGCAGGAAGGCCCCCAAAGATGAGTCAAAAAAAGAGGTGATTACATACAGGTCTGTCTGCCTGCCATGGAGGAAGTCTTCGGCAGTCCGGGATCCGCGACAAGAAGGACTGGGAAGACGGACAAGAATGAGCCAGAATCAGAGCCAGAGCCAGAGCCAGAGCATCATGATATCAGATCATATCACCAAGACGAAGGAGACTTTCTTCTTCTTCTTCTTCTCCTCTTCTTCTCTTCCTGCTTATCTCTTCTGGTTAGAAGACTTTTTTGCAAATTAAAAAAAAAGAAAAAAGAATTCTCCTTTCTTTTCTTCTTTTTTGCAATCTCGGCGACCGTTGCTTGCAGGCCGACTCCAGAGAGGCCAGAGGGGGGGGGGAGGGGAGTTAATGATACTTCCAAAAGGCCTGCATCAGAAAGGGCCTTGCTAGGAGAGTAGAGTTCCAGTTTAGTGCCCGCTCTGAACCACCAGCTTCAAACCAGCGAAAGAGGTTGATGAAACCCCTTGAAGCAGAAATGACAGACAAGACAGACAAGACAGGCAGACAGGCAGGCAGGCAGACAAGTTAAGGGAGGACTTGTAACCGGTTAACTGACTGGCTGTAACTCTCGGCCTGATCCCTCTAATATAAGCCAGCATCCTCATCGTCATCACCGTCATCGCCGACCACCCAAGACCCTGCTTGCTAAACCCGATATACGGGACGAGTACTAATACTAGTTGGCTCTGGACTATATCTATCACATGAGGCGCAGTTACTCTGATGTCATTTTGTTCCTGCGGTCGTGTAATAAGTCTATGTATTTTCGGTGTACAGTATACATCATTATACAAGGCGAGAAGGCGAGGGATGAGCCACCACCACCACCAGCACCACAGTAGTTAAGCATGTGCCGTGCCACAGTTCCCTTCCGTCTCATCTCGTTTCTGTCGCTCGCTCGCTTGTTCGTCCGTCGGCGAGGGCACGAAGTTCCGTCTGGTAAATGATGATGACGATGGATGGTGATTGATGATGCATCCTCCTGCCTACTCGAAGGACCGCCCATCCCCCATCCCCATCTGTAAGAGTATGTAAGTACTTATGTGCAAGCAGGGATGGGCAACGCACGTCTCGCTTCCCATGTGTGTGTGACTTTTTTTGTTTGTTTTTTTCCTTTTCGATGCTATGACATGAAGCATCCAAGTGGCACATACGGGAGTCCTTAACGAGAGAGAGAGGCAGAGAGAGTAAAGGTAGAAGGCGAAGAAGACAACGACAACAAGAAACAAACATCTTGATCACGGCGTCTTCTTTTCTTTTCCCTCGTTCCCCATCGCATATTCCTGACAGGGTTAATACGCCTGTAGCCTCCATGTGAGTAAGCAGTTAGTGAGCTGGCCATCATAGCCGACGCGAAGAAGAAGAAACCATCAAGGAACAAACAGGTGACTCTTGAAGTTAAGAAGATGATATCGACGACGACGACGACGACGACGACGACGGTGAACGAGCAGGGAGAAACAAGGAAGCCGAGATGACATAACAAGTTGCAGCTCTCCAGCCCATCAAACCAAGCAAGGCGATCCTCCCTTCTCCGTCCTCCTGTTCCTGTTCCTGTTCCTGTTCGCTCTCGTTGCTTTTTTGCCCCTGCCGCCCTCGACTAGCGTTTCATGCAGGGGTTGAGCAGCAGCAGCAGAAGCAGAAGCAGAGGCAGAGCGCAAGATGGGACAGGACTCGCTTACTTTTTTTTTTTTTTTTTTTTTTTTTTTTTGCAAAAAAAGCTAATTGCGGGACCATGGGAGAAGAAGAGACGAAGACGAAGAAGTCGAGGAAGAGGCAGAAGAACGACAAACAGACGAGTTTCATGTCTGCCTCTCCCTTCGATGCAGGTAAGCATAACCGCTCTCTCGGGAAAGGAAGACGAGGGACGATGAGAAGAGACATAGACATAGACATATAGACAGACGGAGAGAGAGGGAGAGAGAGAACTTGATGCACTGGCCTGACGCGCGCGGGCGGGCGCAACGCTCTTCGACGTCATGGGCTTCTTTTTCTATACCCGTATAGACGACGGCTGTCAAAGATAGGTAATTGATAGTCGTCTTCGTCTTTCCCCTCAGCCAGAGAGACAGAGACGGAGAGACAAGAGAGGGAGAGAGGGAGAGCACAGGTCATAATGATAATATCATAAGGTTATTATTCCTTTTGCCTTTCCCCGTCGTCTAAGCCTAAGCAAGATTGAAGGAATAGGCGAAATACTACGCAACTTCCAGGCCTGCCTCTTTCTGCTGCATCCCTCCGTCCATCCATCCGCCGGCTGCCTTTCCTCGATTCCTCAAGAAAGGCCAGCCAGGCTTGGAGAAAAAAGTCAAGAGCCAGCAGACGCGCCTGGCCAGTCCAGTCTTATCTCGCCGGGAGCCGCATTCGATGTAACTGACTGATAAGGAGGTCGCCAGCAAGTTATACAGAGTAGCTCTGTGGGCGGCGCATCATGCACACTTTGCAGTCGTCCCATACTGTCTATAGCTAGCTAGCTTGCGGGCTCCATCCGCAGGCGCCGACTACTATGGAGCAGCCTTGCTGGATGATGGCCTGTCTCGCTTTCTCGAAGCTCGCCGACGTGAGGTTAAGTTATTTTAATATCATGTCTCACTACGTTTCTCGCTTAGTATCCCAGACTGGATATGTCTTCCCTCCCAGTTGGCAGAGAGGCAATAATAAGAACCTACTTAAGTACCTAATGTATATATGCTTATCGGGATCGGAAGTGAACATCCCTGGTCCAATTGCTATCTTGACCAAGGTATATCGCACCTCTTCCCCGTGCTTAGTTTTACCCGACTAACTCCCACCTTGCATCCCAGATGATATCATCTCCCGCCCTGTACATACTCAGAGCTCCAACAGGGCAAAAAAGAACGACGAGTTGAGTAACGACATTATTATTATTATTACTATCACCTTATCATATTAATATTATCCCATCGCACGAAATTGCCGTTTCAGCCGGCTGGATCCCATGAGCTTGAGCTCGGGACACGCAGAGAGAAAGAAGAAGAAGAAAATGCATGAGAAAGGATGGAGATGAACAGCAAAAGACGGAAGAAGCAGAAAAATAAAAAAAGAAAACGGATTGAAAGAAGCAAGAAGCAGGAAGCAAGAATGAATCAAAGAGAGGGCTCAGCCGCTCTGCGCACCCGGACGAGCCAGACTTTACGAGTCGTGGCTTTTTTTTTTTTGCTTCTTGTCTTTGCTTCTGCATATCCCGCATGAGGTACGCTGTACGGAGTACGATGTACGGCGCCCAAGCAGAGTCTTGTTCTTGTCTTGTCGGTCTGTCCGTCCGTCTGTCTCTGTCTGTCCGTTACCTTGTGCAGAGTTCGTGCGTGTGTATGTATCTTCTCTCACCCAGCCTTGGTTACACCGGTTGTTCAAATGGAGCCCTCTGCAGGCGGGTCGTCTTACTTACATGCATTCCGAGTTTCCATATCCATCGACATCTCCGTCGTTGTCTCTCGATCTTGTTCTTGGTTCCTTCTCCTCGCCTATTGATGCAGTTCCATTATCGTTTCCGTACAACCACAATGCACGTCTATTATCCATATGTATGCATGTAAAAGGGGGGGAGAAACGTACACCGACCCATTAACCTACCTCTATCCCGTACAGTAGTATTCCATCCCTCTCTCCCCTTTCTTTGTGCGCCTATCTGTCTCACCGTAGCTTTTCTAGCCTCGCATCTCCCGAGCAGCTCACATCACTCATGACTTCACACTGCAAAAGAAAAGGCCTTGCTTCCTTCTTCAGCCTTGTCCGCCTTGAGAAAACCCCAAGAAGATTCCTGCTAGGGCCCGCGCCTTGCCCTTTAAGGAATGCGCCAGCTTCTTTTACATAAGGATAACATAATAGAGCTAACTGCTAATAATATTTTACACATTTACACAGGGCTGAAACTCTGCAAGATGAAAAAGGCGAGGAGATCGATGGTGTACCTCGTGGTACTTAAGGAGGTAACTTACTTACTCTGTACACTCACCCTTGCCTGCCTCTTGTTGCCCGGCCACGCAACTAGTTTGACGCCGTGGCAGCGCTGGGAATTATTTTATTGGTGCTAAAAACAGGGTGTCACTCAAGCCCATTGGCCCAGACAGTTACCATTATTGCTATTATATTATCAAACAAGGCATCCTTATTATTTCCCTGATCCCAACTAATAATGTCGGAGATCGAAATCTTAAAACAGAGAGACAGACAGAGAAGCGACAATTGGAGGGACTCTCATTTCAATTAGGTGACTCTTCTTCAACCTCGTCGACTCGGAAAGACGAAAGAGGAGATGAAGCTGCTTCAGCGCAATAGTTAATGGACCCGGTTGTTTGGCGTTCGTTTGGAGAAATCTTATCGGTAGTTTCCGACAGGGGGTCCCTTTTTTTTTTTTTTTTTTTTTCGGCTGCTCAGGGCGAACTTCTGCTGCTCTCTTGTCTTTGGCTGCCTTTGCGGCTTGGTTTTTAATTTCGCAACGCCTACCTACACACAGACATTGTTGTCGTTGCTTCTTCGAGGCGTTTAATAGACGGATTTCATGCAGTATATAGGCCGAGAGCATGGCGTCGGCATTTGCAAAGACCGCGAAAAAGTAAAACTCCATCTTCCCTTTTCGTCCAAAGCTGTAGTTATGTTAAATACAAGTAATGCACGGAGTAATGGATGCAGGAGCAATATATCGACGTGGGCGCTTGGCTGGATCCTTTGCCATGGCGAATATATGCACTCTACCCTGTTCGGAGCGCTTCGCCCAAGGCATGCAGTGTTATAAGCGCCCCTTGCATATATCACTGATCGGTCTTTTATCTCGGCATTAGTTGACCAGATCGCCGGATTCCGTCGATAGCCATATCAAGGCAACGGAGCTGAAGGCCGACGGACAAGGATGATGAGTTCGACATCATATTTTTATTCTCCTGATCGAGAGTGCATAATATATTAAGTAAGTCAGTGGGTATATTGTGTCAGCGAACATGTCTTGCTTGGCTGCGGCTGGGCGACAAAAGGAGAAGGAGGCCCATGTTCATCAGCGTTGCCCGGCTGTGCCTCAGGACAGCTCGTCGCTTGTTTCAATTGGTCGTCAGAATCGTTTGACAAGCGTGTTGAGAAACGTGGTTTGTTTGCTTTAAAAAAAAAAAAATTTAATCATATACTGATCTGCGTTCATCCATGGGTTGGTTAAATTAGTTCGCCAGCCGTGGAGCAACATGATTGGCCCCCCTAAGCAGCAACTCCAGACATCGCTCTTCTCTGCTAAAATAGTTGGTGGAGGGCGGACTGGGGACTCTCTCCTGACCGTTGAACTTCTCCTGGAGAAACTCGAACTAGCCTTAAAACGGGGCTAACGTTTCTGGAAGGCGACTTTTTAATTTCTTTCGTTCGGGGACTTTTGTTGTGACCTAGGCAGCTGAAGATCCCATATTTTTTTATGGGGTTTTTTTTTTTTTTCAGTTATACTAAGTTAAGTAGTCAGGGTGAAGTGGTTCGTCGGAAGAAAAATTTTTCACTTTAGCTTCTCTCGTTCTCTCTTTCTGCTGCTTAGCGCCATGTCAAGTCACATACTTGTACGTAACGGCTTTTGCTTGTGTGCACTCAGTTGAAACCGTCACAGTCGTCGCGGGCCCCCTGAACAACGTCCCCCTCCCTCATGTGAACAGGTTCGATATCAACGTGTGACAAGTTTCGAGCCTCCCAAATCTCCATCCCCCCCTGTTCCCTTGCTCACAATCACTGTGACGACTTGAGGAGGGGGAAGGAGAGAGAAAGAGAACATTTGGAATGTTCCGAGTTTCAGCTGACTGACATCGATTGCATTCCCCATACTCCGTAACATTCCGACGATTCCCTCTCCCCAGATTGACAAGGCTCTATACGGCGCGCATGGCGTGGCGTGATAGCTTCAAGATGAAGAACCACTATGAAGATATCCTCTCTTGGCTTCCGCTCCTGTACTCTGTACAACTTAACGGTGTGCATACGGAGTATGCAATCTGCACTGTGCTGGATCCCTATCCCCTGCTTCAGGTATAAGTCGTTCGTGCTAAGGTGGACTTGGCGAACGTTGAATCCAAACCAGAGTTCGACACTGTTTCTGGAAAAAAAATAGAAACGGAGCATAAAAGTAGGAGAAACCGTTTAAGGAAGGAGTTCATAGTATCACCGCTATTCGTCGTATTCTCGTGGTGCTTGAGTGCAAATCCACTCCTCCATCAAAGCCTGTCCGGTCTCTCCATCGTTCGTCTTCTTGGAAGATTCCATCGGCTTCTTGCGTTTAATGATTAGACAGAGGACCCATCCCCATATTCCGAATCCATCATACGTGGTAGTAAGGCCTAGCTTCTTCTTGTCTTCGGTGGCCTCATTCGCCACCCCAGCGGTATCCTGCATATTTTCATTGGCAGCATTATTATCATTCTTGTTCTTATTATTGTTCTCTGGCGCTTCATCGTTTGCAAAAGGCATCTCTTCGTCATCATCACTCTCCACTAGAATCCTCGTCTCGCCTATATTCTGTTCTGATATTTCAATCGGTGAGTCATCCGTCCCACCTGTCATTTTTTTGGAATTGCTTGTGATCCGGCCTTTGTTGTCTCTGAAAACTTTTTGCCGTGTGAGCAGGGAATGTCGACTTCCGCTTTCTCGCAGGAATATAGAAACTTCAAAATCATCTAAAGTCCATTGTTAATAACGGAATAGCTCCCGTCGGTATTCGAAACAATGGCATCATTTCTTGACTGACCTTCAACAAGGACGTCTTTCACGGGTTTGCTCTTCTTCTTGGCCTTGATCCGTTCTTTCTCCTCACGTAGCTTGGGCTGCACGAGAGGTCGGATACTTTCAATGACCCGTTTTAGTGTAGCGTCATGAGAGTCCAGTAGCCATCGCGAGTCCGATGGGTTTTCTAGGTATATTCGGCATTCAAGGACGGTGTATTTGCTGACACGCAGGTATCTCCGAATCGGTCCCATTCCGATACTTTGTTAAATTAAACAAGCTGATTCTGTAGTAAGGTATGCTGGTATACACTCCTATTCTCTCTGGAGCTTCATATGGCGGCTATATCCTTTCATATGCTGTGGCCTTGTCAAGCTGTTCAAGCCTGGGTTGAGGTTTCCGGGACTCCAGGCAACAAACAGGGTGAGCTGAATGCAAACAATGCAAACTTCGGGCAAAAGGCGCGTCCAAACTATGTCATAGCTTATTGTAACTACCTTCATCGCGAGGAACATCTCTTGTTTACATTGTAGGAACAGAGGCTGCTTCGTCTGTTTACATCAAGAATTCATGTTTGCCAGCCTGCTCGGGCATGAAATCCGTTCTATTTCTGCTTCTACAAATCCCAGCCAAAGTTGATTCTATACCCCCCAATTGAACTGACCGCGGGGAAACTTCCAAGTTTCTCGACATGGGCCAAACTTCCCCTCCTCCAGAGGGGGTGTTCTCCCTGCTGGACACTGATCTCTATAAGCTGACGATGCAATGTGCCATCCTTAAATATTTTCCGAGTGCTTGTATGTTATTTAATTTTTTCCAGCATGTCTGCTCACAGACGTGTTATGAAATCTACGTAGGTCACGGCTAACCCGGAGCTTTCCAGATGTTACATACTCCTTCACCAACAGAACGCCGGATATGAAATTCACCAGACGGTCATATAACTGGTTGCTAGAGCAAATAGCTAGTAAGCTTTATTGGCTTATTCAGAGCCAATCCGATCTTCGAAACGTCCTTAGAATGGAACGCTGACTTATATTTCCGTACACAGGATTGGAAAATATCAAATTGACAGAAGAAGAGCTGGAGTTCTTACAGAAGCGCTGTTCATACCTTAGCCCCGCATATCTTAAATACCTATCAGAATTCCGTCTGAAACCTTCCGAGCAGCTGGAGGTATCGTTCATTCCAATTGACGACACTGGATCTAAGGATGACATGGGAGATGTCAAAATAGCAATCAAGGGCCTATGGATCGAAACTATATTGTATGAGATCCCTCTTCTTGCACTGACGAGCGAAACATACTTCAAGTTTTGTGATCGTGACTGGGATTACCATCAACAAGAAGAGAAGGCTTTCCGAAAGGGATGCGCACTTCTTGAAAATGGATGCATATTTTCTGAATTTGGAACTCGGAGACGCAGAGACTATCATACCCAGAATCTGGTGATGGAAGGGCTTACCAGAGCAGCGAAGAAAGGAGCAGAAGAAGGGTTTAAGGGGAAACTTGCAGGCACCAGTAATGTCCATTTCGCTATGAAATATGGCATCGACCCCGTGGGTACCGTTGCCCATGAGTGGTATATGGGAATAGCTGCTATCACGGACAACTATGAGAATGCCAACGAGATTGCACTGAGATACTGGTTAGGGTGTTTCGGTGAAGGGGTAAGTATCTCCCCCTCCTTTTTTTTCATTTCACGGTATTGTCGTAGCAGCAGATGCTAATTTTATGCTATACAGGTTCTGGGTATTGCCCTTACGGATACCTTTGGTACCCCCACGTTCCTTGAGGCATTCAGAAAGCCAGTGCCAGAGCTTACATCTGCCACCGAAGGCCCTGAGGCTACGATGCCTTCTTCAGGAAATAATACTTCCGAGACTGACTCCCTAACATCAACTGTCCCCCCTATCCAGAAACCCTTTGACAGTGCAGTGAGAAACACCACCGCTAAAACCTACGCCCAGGTTTTCACAGGAGTGAGACAAGATTCTGGCGACCCTGTTTACTTCCTGAAGATTATAAAGGACTTTTACGAAAAGGAAGGTATCAAGGATAAGAAAACGGTCGTGTTCTCTGATTCCCTGAATATCGAACTTTGTCTGGAGTATAAGGTTATTGCAGAAGAATCCGGCTTCCAGCCCACATTTGGAGTTGGTACATTTTTCACAAGTATGAATTCCCTTTGCAGCATCTGTCATATTTTCGTACCTCACCTGATGTTGGGCTAACTTAGCATGAATGAAATAGATGATTTTAATCGAACTTCGAACGGAAAGAAATCTGTTCCTCTCAATATCGTTATCAAAGTCTCCAGTGCCGGAGGACGGCCAGCTGTCAAATTGAGTGATAACCTGGGCAAGAATACTGGAGATCCGAAAACAGTAGTCGAGGTTAAGAAGCGACTTGGCTATGTAGAGCATGACTGGGAGAATGGAGACGAGACGAGACGGTGGGGTAAGAAAGAGGACTAACGAGTCAAAGATACGTTTTCATTTCTTATATCAGATAGATGAACCCAGCCGTTGACCGTTGCTAGAAACCAAAAAAATGGATGCCTCGTGGATGGAGGCAACATCTGTAGTGTAAGAACCTATCTTGTTGCAACTCTCGGCTTACAGCTTTCCCAATAATTGTTCCTATTAAAGCATTTGTATTGTTGTCTTTCGAAAGGTCTTATTCAATATTAGTTTTATCTATATTGCCTGGCTGCTGACTCGAGAGTGCATACGCAATTCCATTCTACTCTTCGTCCGTCATTCCGTTCTCCATTAATGTATGAGCAGACGTAGCGTTGCAGAACTTGGGCATACGGGTTAGCATTAAATGGGTTTTCTGTGTACCCATAATAATAATACACTCAAAATTGAGACCAGGGTGATGGATCATGTCCCTTTTTACTCCTTTTTGGCAGATAGAAGTGTCCCTCAGACACACTTTTGCGGGCACTTGAGACTTTTGATCCAGTATAGGAAGATGAGATTGGGTCATAAGGATTTATTCTCATATTTTTGTTCCTGAAGTGCATAGAATGCCCTGTGATGTCATGTTATAACGTTGTGAGGTACTCCGTAAAGGAGCATCTCTACCAAACCCACTGTTGATCACATCCAAGTGTACCCAATGTACTCTGTACTTCATGCTAGTGCACTGTCCACGGATCAGGAGATCTTGGTGGCTGATGGCAACCACCTAGGCTCCAATTCCACCGCGCCACGGCGCATGTAATTATGGACCTGTGTAACCATCCACCCCTAGAGCTCCCCTTTTCCCACATCCGCCTTCACAAGCTGAAGATATATCCTCCTCCCGCAAAAGCTCCAGCTCGCTGAGGGTTTTGGCAAGCCGAAAGACCATGCACCTGCTAGTGCTCCTCACCGCCATGCTCACGGCTGCAGTATCACTCAGACATGCAGCTTAGCGAGCGAGAAAGACCTGGAGGCGAAGAAGGGGCTGAAGAGGACCTCAGCAGCTAAATATAAACCCGAGGCTGCGAAGGAGAGACGAAGGATGCAGAGGAGGGCGTTAAAGCGGCGTCACAACCCCACGCCTTCTGCCCCCTGCATCTCTGCCTCCATGCAAAAACAGAGCCCTAAAGCGGCACCATGCACATCCCTCTTTCGGCCTCTAATGCACGTCAGGCGGCACTAGCGCCCGAAGCGGACTAGCGCCTCTGAGCCTCTTCGAACCGCCCGTTTTTGCCGCGTAATTAATTAGTCCGAGGACTCCTTTTTTCTCGAGTTGCCTGTCCGTCGGCTGGAACAACATCCTCGATCCTCCAGGCTCTCCCGTCCTCTCGTCTTTCTGCTCTTGAACGTCGCTGCCTGGGCCTGTCTGGCGTTCTTGTTTCTCCAGGACTGATTCTCTCTGCCAGACCACCAGCTCTCGCCTTTGCCCCAGGATCGTCGCGTCTCCAGTCCCCTCCAATCGCCATATTTACACAACCTACGGCCGCAACCTTGCGCTGGATTCGCATTCAGCCACCCTCCATTAATAGCAACCTTCGTCCTTCTTGCGTGTACATACGAGTCTTCTTCTTCTTCTTTTTTGTTCCTTTTACTTTAAACAAGAAAGATTTGTCTGCTGAAGTCTTGGTTTGCGTAACTTTTTTTTTCTTCTAATTTCTCGATCTCGACCTCTTTCGACTCACAACACGCTACCACCTTTTTTTTTATTTACCATACAACACGCACACGCTCCGGATTGACAACGGCCAGGCACTCCATATTTCACAATGAGCGTGAGTCGCCACTCTCGTTTGTCGAAATTTGATATCACAGCTGTACATTTTGACGAGAACATGCGATCTTTGGCAAGGAGGAACCCTGGGGGCTAATTTTAATCGAATGTTTTAGGGATACAACAACCAGGCACGAGGCTACGGCCAGATTGACCACTACTCCGGCTCTGGCCACCCCGGTAATGGGTATAACCAAGATGTCGAAGCCGGCCACAACAACTATGGTATGGCTAGCATTATCTTCTAGGGTCTTTATTTGTTTATTTTGCTTGATTGCGGCATCTCGCTAATCCGGCTAATTATAGAAATGTCCCAATACAACCAGCCGCGCCCTCAAGATCCCAACGCCATCCTAAACCAGTGCAGAGATGTTGACCGTGGAATCGATGATGTAAACCGATATGTTGACCAGCTTAGCACCCTCTACCGCCGTCTGCTCAGCGATGTCGACCCTGCTCGTGAAAATGCCGTCCGAGAAGAAGTCGAAGACCTTGCCAACCAGACGAAGCGCCTTTATCGTAACTTGGTCGACCGGGTCAAGTCTATCAAGCAGATGCCAGAATCCGGAAGCCCACGCAACTCCTCCCAGGTTGGAAAAGTTGAGCGTAGCTTGAAGGCAGCCATCACGCGATACCAGCAAGTTCAGGCTGATTTCCGAAAAGAGTCCGAGTCGCAAATGGCCCGACAGTACCGTATTGTTCGACCGGATGCAACAGATGCCGAGGTTAGAGAGGCCGTTCAGGATAGCTCGAACCAGCAGATCTTCAGCCAGGCTGTATGTTTTTTCCCCCGGACTTCATCCCCATATGTGAATTAAAGATTCTAACCAATTTCAATAGTTGATCCAAAGTGACCGCCGTGGTGATGCCCAAAAGGTGTCGCAGATGGTTCGGGCCAGACACGAGGAGATCCAGAAGATTGAACGAGACTTTGTCGAATTGACACAGATGTTCCACGATCTTGAGGCTATGGTTATTCAACAAGAAGAACCCATTGCTCACATCGACCAGACCGGTGAAGAAGTGCGGGAGAACGTCGACAAGGCCAATGAAGAGATTAAGGGCGCCATTGATTCCGCCCGTGCTCGTAACAGAAAGAAGTGGTGGTGTCTTCTCATCTGTCGTAAGTACATGAGTCTCTCCCCGTGGAGTTTGCCAAATCATACTAATTCTTTCTTTCCGCAGTCCTTATCATTATCATCATTGTTGTCGTCATTGTCGTTGTCGTTGTTATACAAAAGAAGTAGAGTTGCTACCACTTGCCTCTACTTACGTCTTACTATCCACACCGATGGCCAGAGTATGGCTGTTCACTCCTCCGACCCGAACCTCCGCGAAAATATCTCTCTTCCCTTTGTACATGTGCTTATACCCTTCAACCAGTATTGTAAGATCCTTTTGGTATCCCTTTTGGAGCATCCACTCCTAGCTACTCCGCAAAAATTACCCTTTTTTTCCTCTTCCTCTGCTTTCTAGCATCGAACCGATAAGCCACATTCACAATCATCGTTGGAGCCTCCGTTTTCCTTTGTCAATCGTCATAGCAGCTACAATTCCATTCTCGCCCGGCTGTACTATATCAGCTCTTATGGCTCAGTGACACTTTTTCCTTTGTTGGATTCCTGTCTGTTTCTTCGAAGGTACTTTTTATTGACATTACTACTATATAATAATTACCCCTGTTTCCTTTTTTTCTCTTCCCCAGTTCCTCTCTTGTGCTATTCTCCATCATGTCGTCTACTTTCTTCTTGCACTTTATAAAAAGAATGGTTGGCTTTATATTTTTTTGGAGTAAACAATAAAGAGTTTATTCTGATATTATATTGTCTATCTCTTCAATTATCCATTTATGCCAGTTATGTCCTAGGTCTATCGTTACCGGACCAATGCTTGAATGCAATATTGTAGTACGCAAAGTATGGTTCTTCGAGCTCAAATCTTACATATGCCTTGGTGCAACCGCTTATGGCACCAGCCCAGATTCTTACGGTCTCCAATTATGAAGCCTAGTCGCCAACTCTAGGGTATTAGTCCTCAGCTGTCTCATCACATGTCTACTCCTGCGTTGCCTACTGCTTCGCAGCCTTCTCTTCCTCTTCAGGGGTTCTCGTCTTAAGCTGTAGCGCATGTATACCGCCCTCTTGAGCCATTTCTTCTTTGAGCAGGTTATATACCATTCTATGTCGGGCGGGCTGGGTCTTCGATGCGAATGCGGACGAAATTATCGTTACACTGTAGCGAGTAGTAGTGAGCAAGCTAGCAATTTCGTGTCTTTAGCCGTCGATGGCTGTGCTTCCCATATACGCACTGGAAATGGGTTTCTGTAGATGTATTCCCTTGCATGGGCGCATGATGAGCGTGGTGTTTAGAGTCATTTCGGATCGTTAGAGAAATCGGCGATAGTTCTCTTGTGACCTGCATATAATCATTGTGAAATCAGTCCTATGCGCATGCACTTATCTCCTTGACATAAGACCTGAGGCATACCTTATCCCGAATCGCGTCTTCCAAAGGCGTCTGAGAAGTTGCAGTGCTGGCGGACATTCTAGGTATGCGTGAGAAAAGCTGCAGGCGCTGCTGGCTTAGTCGGATGGTTCGGAGCATCTGGTATGTGGAATAGCTGGAGAACGACAAGAGCTTCAAATGCGCTGGTAAGGGCAGGTTTGCTTGCCTGTATGTCTTTGCAGAAGGCTTCGGTGTTATTCAGGCCCAGGCTAACTAGTTATCGTCGTCGGTAACATAAAATTAGTTAACTAAGCTTTTTGGGCGCATCCGCGACCTTGGGGAAACTTCTTTGCACATCAACACCTCATAGAAGATGAAGGCTGGCCGGCATTATTTACCATGAAACACATGGATACCCTTTAGCTGGCTTCTATTGTTGAATAATCTGATATGTGGACGAAAAGCCGCTATAGCAAAGCTCTGCTATTAACCTCGACAAGATGATACGACCTGGCTGCCGGCGGTTTTGTCTATTTGCGCAGCAGCATCCAAGAGCTCGAGTGAATCAGTATAGCGCTATACCATGGCCGAAATGGAAGGGATACCGAGTCCGTCCTATGCGATTATTTTCGAGTCTGCCCAATCTTCCCCTGTTGCATCCATTGGCCTCCCATGACCAGCTCTCGACATCGGTTGTCCATAGCGCTTCGGGCCGCACCTTTACCTATGGCAATCTTCTCGGCGATGTCATATCGGCTCAGGATAAACTAAAGACTATCGGGGGAAGGCATTCAAGGCTTCTTGATTTGCAGGGAAAGCCTGTGGCGTTTCTGGCGGAGAACAGCTACGACTACGTAGGTACTGTAGAAGCTCCCAAGCAAGTCGATCCAATGAACTTGGGCACTATATAAATGGCTAACATTTGTAATGAGCATAGTGATACTACTATCTATCCTTGCCGCGGATGGGATTGCTCTTCCTCTTTCTCCTAGTTTCCCTGCGGCAGAACTGAGATATATACTGGATAATTCGCAAGCTGAAGTGCTCCTAGCTACGGAAAGGTACCGGGAACAAGCAGAGCAAGTTCTCAAGGGAGAATTGATAAATCCTCCCGTTCTGGAATTCATTCCTAAGCTTGAAAAAGGAGCCACGCCACCATCGAGCGTAGGATTTCGCAATATCGAGGACCCCCAAGGAGGAATGATGCTATATACTTCAGGAACCACCAATCGGCCGGTATGTTGAGCTAATTGAATTTGGATACGGATAGAACGCGAACTAATATCCATCGTTATCAGAAAGGTGTATTCCTCCCACACTCTGCGCTAGCGGCGCAAACCAAATCTTTGGTTGAAGCATGGTCTTATTCACCAGACGACAGACTACTTCACATGCTACCTCTACATCACATCCATGGCACTGTCAATGCTATCCTGGCCCCGGTCCTTGCTGGCTCATCTATTGAATTTACATATCCCTTCAATCCTACAGCAGTATGGAAGAGACTGGCTAAGCCATTTCTCCCTCAGTCCACGGCCAATCCACCACCAAAACCTATAAACTTCCTCACAGCGGTTCCAACTATCTACCACCGCCTTCTGAATACATTTGATTTACTCTCTGATACCACTAAACAGGCCGCCAAGGAAGCCATTTCACCGGGAAATCTACGGCTAAATATCTCAGGTTCTGCTGCATTACCGACGCCTACAAAAGGGGCATGGTCCGATCTTAGTGGGGGGAATGTCCTTCTTGAAAGATATGGTATGACTGAAGTGGGCATGGCTCTCAGTTGTGGCCTAGAATTCAATGACAGAATTGATGGGAGCGTTGGATGGCCGCTTCCATCTGTTGAGGTCAGACTATTCGACCTTGATAAACAAGAAGTTATACGCCCCGGGCAAGAGCTTGATAATTACGGCCGTGAGAGAGTCGGAGAGATCCAGCTACGAGGTCCAACCATATTCAAAGAATATTGGCATAACAAGCAAGCTACCGAGGAATCATTTACTGACGATCCTGATGGCAAGGGCAAATGGTTTAAGACAGGGGATATGGCTATTCGAAAGCCAGTGGATGGCGCTGGGAAAGGTGAAAGCACCTGGGCTAAAGGTCCGTTATACTTCATCCAGGGCCGCCAGAGTGTGGACATTATCAAGGTCGGAGGAGAAAAAGTGAGCGCACTAGAAGTTGAGCGTGAAATACTCTCCCTGTAAGTACCGGCTTTCCAGCTATTATATTGTTCTGTATTCTGGCTGGACTAACCTAGGATGTTTATAGTCCCCAGGTTTTGGAGGCCGCTGTTGTCGGCCTACCGTCGAAGCAATGGGGTCAAAAAGTCGCCGCGATACTGGTGCTCGACGCTAAGCATGCAGCTACAGAATCTGACGAGGGAAAGCCCTGGGGAATACTTGACCTTCGCCGTGCCTTGAAGGAGAAGCTGTCTAGTTATAAGATTCCCCAGGAAATGAGGGTACTTGAGGGCGGGATCCCAAGAAATGCTATGGGAAAAGGTAAGTGCTCGACTAACGTTCAGGACATTGATGTAGAGTTACTGACAAAATAATCCTTCTAGTAAACAAGAAAACCCTGAAAAAAGAGGTCTTCGGCGATGTGATGTAGTGGCGCCATGCTAAGTTGTTGTGTACAATACGGATGTATATAGACTCTTGTACACTATGACCATAGACGGATGTTCTGTAGCTTTGTTGGATAAATAAATTCAAGGCTAAAACAAACCGGAAGCGATATCGCCTAATGGACCAAACATCATACACGGTGAAGAAGGATGATAAACACAGCTTTATAAAAGGGGAATTTCGAATAAGAGGAAGCGCGCATAGCAGTTTAATGACATTAAGAAGTAAAAGCGGAAGACATGTTAAATAAACCACGTTAACCCCCAGTTTTAGCTCCTAAGATAAAACAATCCAGGGAAAAGAAAGCTGCGCTGGGAACATCACGCGCATGCTGAGACTTCGTAAGACTCCATTTTGCAAATTGAGAAAGTGTAACAACCATCTCTACCGGCAATCTCAATCCCGTCAATGAGGGAAGATGCAAAAGCTTCCCTACTAACGTTCACCACGGCCGTTCAGCCCTAAGGGGAGGCATTGAACTGAACGTAGCTATACAAAGTTGATATCTGGATAAGATTGAATCTCTTATACGACCAGGTGCCGTTTTCTCAGACTGTAAACTTGGCTTTAGCACGGGTGCTTCCTGCATTGGCACTCTCAGTGTGGCCGGAGAATTCGAGGAGCTCATTGTCCTTCAGTTTCAGAACTTCCTTGAACCGTCTGCCAATAGCCAAGAGAATCTTCTGTGCTTGATCTTGCGAGCGCTCATTGCTAGCACGTCCAATTGTTCGGGTCCATAGACCGATTCGGTAAAAAGACTTGCGCACGTTAACGACAACTCCCATAACTTCGTTGTCACCGTCATTTTCGAGAGTATCTCCAATCACCGTAAGTTGGGCATGTAGCCAGAGTTCGTCAATGGGAACCTGGTTCCGGTCCTTGGTGAATTTAAAAGAGTACGACCACTTGCCGCCATGCTTGTTTTGTTGATCTTCCCATTCCGGTCTGACTCCCTTCTTGAATAGATGGTAGTCTGACTTGAAGCTGAGCTGAGAGGTAGGCGCGATATTATTCTGTTTACGGCAAAGTGGGTGGTCAGATATTATGCTGTATATAATAAATAAAAGCTAGAACCGTGCCCCTCATTTTTGGGGGGAGGACAAATTCCAGACTTACATATATTCCCCAGAATTCTTCGACGGAGTTAAAAGTGACGACTTCCTTGAGCAGATCGTTCCAGTTGTCGCCCTAGAGGATAGCGCTAGAGTTAGCATAATCCGAGATATTCAATGATGGGTGGGCGGTAATGGGATGTGCAACTGTGGGAAGCGCGCCATGCACTACCACGTACCTTGCCACTTGGAGGTTTTGTGAACCACAGAGTCCATTCGTTCATGAGAGGGTGTTTGACGTTGAAGTTGATGGGATCATGGAAGACCGTGATCTGTTCATCCTTGTTCTGAGCCTCAGTGCCGTCTGGAGTGGAGTTCTCGTTGTTCACGGCCTGTTCGGGCTTGGTTCCGTTTTCCGCCGCCATGTTGTGAGGAGGGAAAGGCGCCGACGTAGATCTATGTAAGGCTGAGGGCTCGAGTCGCTGCACGGGAGATATATAGGCTAGGGGTAGAAGCGCTCCTGGAGCTGGTCGAGGTGGGCGGCGGGTTTGCAGGTAAGGTGAAGGAAGTGAGGTTGAGAGCTGTGGTGGCTGATTCTGGCCGCGGGAAGGCTCGATCGTATCGCTACCACACAGCGAGAAGGGCGATTTCAGGTAGATACAACGCAGCGGAAATGCGTCTCTGCTCCAGGCAGAATGTGTGTTTTGTGGAAAGGTGACGTTGAAGTGTTGAGATTCGCGCTTCTTCTCAAATTTTTATTTTTTGATTCTTTTTTTTTAATCTTCAGGCATTGAGAAGCTTTGGGCGGTTTGAGTTTGCACTGTTTGCACCAACCCTTCTCTCTCTCCCTTTTTCATGGATGGCTTGAAAGTGACTGCAGGAGCATATTTTATCGTCGAAAGGTTGTATACTAATACAATATCTAAACTAATCTTCCAAACTATTCTATGCTATAAACTGCCCAAGTGGCAGGACCGGTCTGTGGCCACTCTATAACGTTAAGAAAAAGCAGGAGAGGGGAGAAGAATCGCTATGCTTAGAATGAGAAAAAGCGTAACAAGAATTCACAACAACAGGGGGGAACAGATTAGGTGCTATCCTTTTCACCCTTACTGTTCATGAGACTGAGGATACAGTTCCAGCCTAGAAGTTGGTAGTTGAGAATTAGCAAAGAAATACAGTATTCGCGGAGGCTGGCCAGGGGAAGAAACGTACCAAGACTGACGAGGTTGACAACAAGAACTCGGTGCTCCAAAGGCACGAATGTGAAGTTGGCTGCCTGCACCCACGGCCAGAGCATGAGATTGGTCTTGTAGGCAGTACCAAAAGTGGTTCGCAGCCTTTCCAATGGGTCATTTCCTTCGAGGATCGCCATGGAGGATAGGAAGCAGGTCAGATGCGTAGGAGTGAACAGGGTCTGATCTGCACACACTCTAGCAACTAATGTAAGTTTGGGGTTCTTGAAAACTATGCTTCGTTGCATGAACTTGTACCAAGTCGTAGCGCCGGGCCCGAAGATTGCTATATTTTTAAAAGCACGAGTGACCATCAGCTTCTTGGATCTTGCATTGTAGGGTTTGCACGTAGCCTGGAGTGGCATACCTCCTCCGTAGAGAACCATTCGACCAGTACGAGCGAAGTCATGCTTCTCAATTCCGACTTGATCGACGAGCTGCTGGGCAAGGACATCTCCGGTTCCAAATAGTACCTAGAGGTCATCAATTAGTAGACTGCAAACTTGATAAGGAAGCCTCATGTTGGAAACTCACAGCACTACCGACGCTCTGTGTAAGCAATGGGCGAGCAGCCAATTTTGCTTGATACCTGCGGAGAGATGTTTAGAAGAACGAATCCTAGAATTATCAAGGGGAAGGGGCAGATAGTTATATCTCCGATGACCGGAAGGCCCAGTGAACTCACCACCGCAGCATTATGAGGTCCTCTGCCTTATCCTTGGGGGGGTCGAGTGTGAGACAGCCAGCTTCATACGCTCTTCAGGCTTATATAGCTGGTCTAAACAATGAAGAAGCCGCGCCATCGCAGGGGGCTCAAATCTCTGCTCATCCTCGCGTCCTGCTGACCCTTTTTTCTGGCCCGGTGGAGCTTCTTCCGCCCGGCTTTAGTCGCGCGATTAAAACCTTGATCTGCCGCAAAGCCGACGCACTTTAAGCGCTTAGCGCCACGACCAAGGGATCTCCTGTTTGGGCGGCGAGGTAGGGCTTAGGGCCCGTCCTGAGGGTTCGCCGGTCACTCGCTTAGAGGGGGCTTATGTAATGCTCCACATCGCGTTTTCTGGCGAAAGAAGAAAGTTGAACATCGAAAAGCGAGTTGGAGCGACGAAGACGTTCGACAAGCGCAACATCGACAACGACCTCAAGTCCTCCGGTCCTCCCTATTTCTCTCCCATTTCCTACAACACCGTCGATTCCGATACCAGCAATTATGGCTGACGCTGCTCGAGGACGCGGCGGCTTTGGCTCGCGTGGAGGAGACCGTGGCCGTGGCCGTGGTGGACGTCGCGGACGTCGTGGTGCTAAGAGTGAGGAGAAGGAATGGCAGCCCGTCACCAAGCTCGGCCGTCTCGTCAAGGCCGGCAAGATCAACAGCATCGAACAGATCTACCTCCACAGTTTGCCCATCAAGGAATACCAGATCGTCGATTTCTTCCTTCCAAAGCTCAAGGACGAGGTCATGAAGGTACGAACATACCGTCGTTTTTATTTTCCTTACTCGAAATTGCATACGGCAAGCATTCGGAGGAGAACGGGTGATGGAATTATAATGCGCCTGGCATTTTTGAGCGTTTCGAGTTGTTCTATGCGGCTATGTTGCAATCGTTGCTAATGGGGGTCAATTTTCGTGGGATATAGATCAAGCCTGTCCAGAAGCAGACTCGTGCCGGTCAGCGAACCCGTTTCAAGGCAATTGTTGTCATTGGAGACTCCGAGGGCCACGTCGGTCTCGGAATCAAGACCTCCAAGGAAGTCGCTACTGCTATCCGTGCCGCCATCATAATCGCCAAGCTCAGCGTTCTCCCAGTCCGTCGGGGTTACTGGGGTTCCAACCTTGGTGAACCTCACTCTCTCCCAACCAAGACCAGCGGAAAGTGCGGTTCCGTTTCCGTCAGAGTATGTCTTTTCTATCCCATCCTTTATACAACGGCAAAGGACGTTCAAGACTAATTGGATAACCCTCTAGTTGATCCCTGCTCCCCGTGGTACTGGTCTCGTTGCCTCCCCAGCTGTTAAGCGATTCCTCCAGTTGGCCGGTGTCGGTGATATTTACACATCTTCCTCCGGTTCCACCAAGACCCTTGAGAACACCCTCAAGGCCACCTTCGTTGCCGTCGGTAACTCATACGGTTACTTGACTCCTAACCTCTGGAAGGAGACCAAACTCAACCGAAGCCCTCTCGAGGAGTTCGGTGACGTTCTACGGGAAGGAAAGAGATACTAAAAAGGAACAAATAGGATTTTCTTTCTCTCTCCCTTTTGTCTATTTTAGTTAGCGGATAAAATTCCTTTCGAGCTTGTCAGGAGCTAAATGAAATAATGATTTCCATCTGACAGATTGTATTCTTGTCTCTCAATTTTCTTTCCTGGGATACTAAGTCATATTACATCTTGAACCGTTGTAAGAATTTCATACTGATTTTTGGCTATATTTTGAACGAGACACCACCATTAGGCACGTATCTGTCACCATGGAACCGCATCGATAGCGAGTAAGTAAATCGATAGGATAATGATGTATCAAACCATGCATCTACATCATGATTTCATAGGATGATCCAGAAAATATTACGTTGAGCTGCATAGGGCCATGCAGCTATAATCAGAGCGCATGTCTGACAAAGGAGTAAGTAATTCCAACAGACCGAAGCATCCACGCTGAGAGCCGACCCGGCGTATCTGCAGCCATGACTCTCAGACACCTGTGGTTCGGTTTCATGTCTCGAGAGAAGAAGCCCCTTGATTGTACTCCAGAGAATAAAGAAAAAGAGATAATGTTGTCTATTTGATATCGATACCGGATGCGTGATAGGCTATAGGGGCATCAGGGAGGTGGATAGAGAATACAAGGAAGCATATATATATACATATATATTCAATCTGCCCCCAAAAACCTACTGCTGGTATCCTGAAGATGTTGTCACTGCCTATATCCTTCGTCTCGAGCACTCTAGCTCACCCCTGTCTGACTCAAGATGGTAAACTGTCATGCAAGTACATATCCCTTCCTATCTAGATGTATCTGGGGCTTTCAGGCTAGTAACAACAGCAACAATAATAACAACATATTTAGCGGCTCTCATAGCACACAAACCAGTCTCCTTTATATTTTCAAAAACACCATAAGAAAAGCAAACCCTATTGATTGCTTGTTTGATAGGATTTCTCTCACACTATCCAAAAAGCCTCCCTTTCTTGCCTATATCAAGCAACAAACTAGGTTAATATACTATATCTGATATCATAATAGCCCGTCTGAGCTTCTATTGCAAGGCTATCAAAAGATATAGCACAGCTAGTGACCATGGTGTGTTGCCGAGGATGCCGTCGTCCTATCAACCAGGATGAAGACAGTGATGAAAACAATCACAAACAGGTGATAGCAGGTGAGCCAGTGAATATTTGGCCTTGTTCTGCCTAGTCCTTTCAGCAAATTTGTTATCTACCAGCATTGAAGACCTTGAGCCAAGTTAACAAAATCCTTTCCAGTCCCAAGGAAGTCACCAGGTCCAGGATATCGAAAGATCACATCTTCCGCGTCGTTCCATCCCCCAAATCACCCGAAAGTAGGGGCGTCTTTCCAGAAACGAAGATCCAGTGTCAGTGATATCACTTGTCTTCCATTTGGCCTCACCAAGTCCGAGTCTCTGGCATCAATATCCCGTTTCTTCAAGGCCGGCTCATCAAGTAACGCGAAGAAGGGAGCCACGGCAAGATCAGCTTCCAGATCATCTTTTAGTAGCAACATCGCGCTCTTACGCTCCGCGTTTGGAGGCAAACAGAACAATATGAAGGAATACGAAGACACGTTCGAAGAACCCTTTGAAGACGATGATTCCATGGACGGCTTTGATAAGCCCATTATCTCATTCCGTGGAGGTTCTGCATGGCAGGCTCTTGACCTAAACTGCAAAGTTCTCGCGTTGGACTTGTTCTGGCCAACTAAGAAAAACAGTCCCTTCGACAACCCCTTTCGCCCGGATATCATGCCAGTTGAAGAGCTTGCTTCACTTTGCAACTTCAGAAACCTCCGAAAACTCAAGTTGACTGGAATGTCACAGTCTTATCAAAAGTACATTTGGCAGACCGTATGGCTTAACCCTGCCCTTGAAGAGCTCGAGTTGGAGATGGCTCTTGAACCTTGCATTCGACGCACTTTCAATGCCGATTGGCCATCTATCAAGGGGGACTGGTCATACCGTACTGCAGATGAGATGCCTGGGGTATACTAGTAAGGATTCAAACTTCCTCCAGAATAACAATCATCATGCTAACTTGCACTTTCTACATCAAAGTGGAGAGTCCGGTGAAGGAGAATTGCACAGACGTGCTGGAGTTGGTGAATACCTAGACAAAGAATCCATTGGAGAGGCAAAGATCAGAGCTCTGGCAATGGGGTGTACGCTCGACCGTTTACCAATTGTTAAGCTAACTCTCACTGGCTTCGTCGTCGATGCCGACCCATTCTTCATGTGGTTCAATCCACATCGCCTCCGCGTAATCAACTTCAAGAATGACTGCGTCGACGCTGGATTTGCGATCCCACGCTTCATGTCCGACCGAGTCGTCGTATCCTGGCCAAATACCGTGGCTGAATATGCCATGCAGGTTCGACACGTCAAACCTGGAGAGGTTAAACTCATCGATATTCCGAAGAGGAAGAACAAAGGGCCAACTCAGGCCAAACTCGTTGATATCCCCAAGAAAGGGAAGAATCCAGCCGACAAGGCTGACGAGACCAAACTCGCCAACGAGAAGGTCAGCGAATGGCGAAAGGCAAGCATCGGCAAAGAAAATGCAGCCATCGAGAAGGCACCTAAGTGCTTCTCGGACAATGACGACGGCCTCAGCCGTCGTCCTGCATTCCGCATCAAAGGCTTCCCGAGAGCCAGCAAGAAGTAAGCCGGCTTGCCAAGCAATGGAACTCCTTTCCTCGGAGTCTAATTTAAAGTGATCACGTGACGGTCACTGCTCGTGATGACGTCATGCAGGGTCTAGATGGATATCACGATCTTCCTCCTTCTTCTTCTCTTTCCTCTCTTTTACATTACCGCTGGACTGGCCTAAATATTTTAATTGATGACAGTATTAGGAGGGAGTGGGGGATGTGATGACAGGATGTTACGCCGATGGCTGTTTAGTTCGCTGGTAAATAGTTTGATATTCCATATTCTGAAGTACACAATAGTAAAACATCAAAAAGACACAAGGTATTAATTGATTCAAAATTGCAGCAGACAACCGAGAGCCCAAATTGGAATTAACAATGAACAAAAATGGCCTGGTCCATAACTTTTGTACTGCCACAATGATAGAGGGTATTATAAGGTGAGCAGAAAGATTGCCGGCTACAAACTGGTGGTCTGAAATGTCGATGGTATCATCTTAGTAAATAAGTGGGTATAACACCACCAGATTCCTTAAGATGATGTTGTTGTCACACCTGCAGGACATCATACGTTCTCATTTTCCCCTACCCGGATATTGCCTTCGCCGTTAACGCCATTGGCCCAGAAACCATCCAGGGTGACCGAGCTAGATAAACAACTGAATTAGCAACCATAACACCCGGATATTTGTGCCTGCATAAACTGCTTACATGGATCTTATTGTGTTATAAGAGGCGATAAGCCAATATCCAAAGACGCCTTGAAGCAATATGTCAAGGATAGCAAAAACTATTATCTCTGCATCAATGCTCATCTTTCGAGCATTATTGGAGATAGCCCAGATGCTGCGTGCCTCATTAGTTATCTTTACAAAATTGTTCCAAGCCGAAGCAGGTATGAACTTACATTGGATAGACGAGCAACACCGCCAAAGAGAAGCTTGCAATGGAAGTATAGAAATTGCGGGCCTGTTGATCCTTTGCAAGAGAGGCTCTACGGCCTTGGAAGCCGGTTTGGTACACAATTGTCAGGTATCCCAAGCAAGAGATTACGAACCAGGCCCATTGATAGTGTTTGTCCATGAAGGAGCTGCTGAGAGCGGCTACAAACATGACAAGAGCTGCAGAGATTGATACCAACAGGCTAGCTCCGTTTACCCCAGACAAAAACGAGAGACAGGTGAGAATCAGCGGCACGGTCAACATCCAGTTGACGTACCGAATCCAGTACACCTCACGGCAGGTCTCCTGGATAGTATCCGGCGAGTGTTTGTGGTGTTTGTGGTTGGTATAATGCTTATACGATACCCCGTATCCCATAGCCATTGCAAAGTATGAGAGGAATGATATAGTAGTAACGAGTGAAACCAAGCTGTGAAATAGGCGTTTTTGCTGGAGGACGTATTAGCAAATGTTTCTTCTAGACGCCATACAATTGCAGCCTTACTGTAGGGACTCTGCCGGCCAGAACGTAGAAAACCAGGGATGAAATAAGCATAAGAATGGCAACAACCCTAAAAGGCAAGTTAGCCAAAAGAATCTCTTGATATATCTGCCTTTATGGTGATAGAGCTTACCATAAGCATCGTCGCCCAACCCCTGATGATTCCTCCATGATCGGATTTCGACCCGGGATAGGGCTAATAGGAGGAACACCGATATCCCCCATTGTGTGCATGGCGTCTTATATAGCAACCGTTAATCTCTGATAGCTATCTCTCGATAGTCGAGGTGAAGTAGTCAGTTGGCCAGGTTTGTTGAATGAAATCTCCGTATGATCCTGACAACTATACCTGCTAGCACAGATGTAGTATAGAAAGGTATGCGATAATTAGCAACAAGCAGCGTCTACCCCTATATAAATGGGTTTCCCCGCGTTACCAGATATCAAGGGAGTTGCCTCCATGGAAGTAAAAATGAGAGTTCGAGAAACAAGAAATGACTTCATCGCCGTCATTCATGTCTTGCCACATACGAGTGGTCCAATCGGGCTCAAAGACGCCTTCGGGAGAGTTTGGAGATTTGGAAGGATGCTGCCAGGTCATCCAGGTAGCACTGCCTGTCGTTTCTGACGTGCAGTTCGTTGGGCCTGCGCCTGGAACGCAAGGTAGCTTGTAGTTATGGTCGGACAGGGATTCTGCAGCCGACGAACTCTGAACTTCTGTGAGCTGCATCTCTTAACCAAGGCCAGGCGAAGAAACAAGGTTCTCTATTTTCCATCCAAGCTCCCATGCAGCCTATGACGTTAAAATCATCGACTGGGCTAATATCAATACCTGTTTTTTTTTGAGGCTGCGTAAGATGGTATAACTGGCCGATTAGACTTATAAAATTTAGTATGGTATAGCATAGTGAGTTATAGTATACATAAAATACAGAAGGGACGGCAACAGGGGAAGGGAGGGTAGATGGACGGGAAAAGATCGCAGGATCTAGATGATCTATGTTACACGCTCAAAAAACGACTATGGTGAGGGGAGGTTTAATTGGGAGTGCTTGTACCCGTATCACACTGTTGATCTATCTCATGCACAACCTCTTCGCAGCGATGGCAAAGATCCTCTTCGTCCTTTGACCCGGTTTCTGTAGGCTGGACTGCGTAACGCCAGCAACGAGGGCATTTGGCCTGAGTTGGCGTATACACCCATGCTTTTCCGATTTGATCGTTTGGTAGCTTGAACTCAGAGCTGTAGCTCCATTCGGCCTGTGTAATGTCATTTAGAACGGAATCACATTCTGGTCCTATGGTGACGGAGGATACGACGAAGAAATCGGGGAGCTCGGTTTGTAATTGCTCGGAAATTTCAAATCCTTCGGGGAGAACAAGATGCACAAATGATTGCAAAGAGGACCCCATTTGCTTTTTAGACCGAGCAGTTTCCTGCATAGCCTTGATTGCAGAATTGGCAGCAACCATAGCAGAATATTCGTGTTCTAAAATATCATTCTTCCACTGGCTGTCTGGCGATTTAAAAGTTCGCTGGAACGGATGTTTCAAACATCTTTTAATGTTACCAGGTGTGTGTTCCCAAGTCTCTTCAACCAGCAAAGGGACTATTGGGCCGAGAAGGCTTTGAATGTGCGTGTATATATGGAACAAAGTGGTCTGTGCAGCTCGTCGACTCATTCCGGACTCTGAATCCGCATATAGCCGATCTTTAATGGCTTCAATGTAGAATGCTGAGAATTCTAGGTTGGCCCATTTGTTCATTGCGGTCACGGCTTTGAAGAACTCCATTTTGTCGACCGCTTCCTGACTTGACTTAACGAGGTTGTGAAGTTGTACCAAAGCAATCTTGTCAATCGCATGTAGTGACTCGTACGGGACTTCATTCCTTGGGTCGAAATCTTGAAGTGCACCGAGAAGCAGCTTAAAAGTGACACGGAATTTATGAAGACTGATGTTGACTGCCTTGAGTACCTGTTGACCAATAATCACATCTTTCGTGTAGTCACTCCCAGCAGCCCATAGTCGAAGGGCATCAGGACCGAGGGCATCGTACACCGGAACATCTGGATTTGGCTTTGGGCCTTTTCCTTTGATCTTTTTGGGCTTTAGTGGAGGGAGAAGTGTACCACCCATGATTTCGTCAGGCTGTATGGTATTCCCGATCGATTTGCTCATCTTACGACCATACTGATCGAGAGTAAACCCATGTGTAATTAGTGTCTTGAAAGGGGCCTTAAACGAAGATTTACCCCCTTCGGCAAGCTGATGGGAAATGTAAGTCAACAAACTGGATTGGAACCAACCACGGTGCTGATCGCTTCCCTCAAGGTATACATCTGCTGGCGGATTTTCAGGGGAATCATCTTTAAGCTGAGCCCAGCTGGTGCCACTGTCGAACCATACATCCATTGTATCTGTTCCGCGCTTATATTGCGGCGAGCTCGAATCACGGAGCGAAGCAGGGAGCCACGCCTGGTCGAACTCATCGTCAGTCCACCAAGCATCTATACCACGTTCCTCGATCATTTTCATGATATGAGACACACTCTCTTTAGTGAGTATAGCTTCCCCAGTGGTGCGGTGGTATAATGCCGGTATAGGGACTCCCCATGCTCTCTGGCGAGATATACACCATTCACTTCTATTCCTGACGAAAGTCTCCAGCCTCGACTTCCCACTTGGCGGGATAAATTGGACAGATTGCAGAGCTTGAATAGCTTCGCCACGGATATCACCAACATCAGCAAACCATTGTTCTGTGGCACGAATTATGACAGGAAGCTTTGAACGCCAATCATAGGGGTACTTGTGCTTGTAATCATGCTTGTGAATGAGAATCCCCGTTTCCGACAAGTGCTTGATGACAGCATGGTTTCCATCCCCTAGGACTTCTTTGCCAGTTAGAAGGTCGGGCTTTGTTGGCATAGCAGATTGGGTAAATCGGCCTTCTCCATCTACAGGGGCATATGCTGGAATTCCGAGAGCGAGACAAGCTTCGTAATCCTCCATACCGTGGCCTGGAGCGCAATGAACAATTCCGGAGCCGGCATCTGCTGTCACAAATTCTGCAGCTATGATCCGCTGTTTTTCAGACTCAGGCCCTTTGAAGTGGGAACGGTAGGTCGAATTCAGCAATTCAGATCCCATAATAGCAGGTATAATGACGGTGAAATCTTCTTCAAGTAGCTCTTGGAGGTATTGCAGCCTAGACTGTGCCACAAGGAGTTTTCCATGGCGAGTCGAATCCACGATTGTATATTCAAAATCGGGGTTAACCGCCAATGCCGCGTTTGCAGGCAGTGTCCACGGTGTCATTGTCCATATAACAGCAGAAATATCATTCCCCGCAAGCAAAGGGTGTTCCAGTATTTGAGATGGTAGATTATCCAGAACGAACTTAACCAGAGCCGCAGTTGATATATGATCTTCCTTGTACTCTAACTCAGCTTCGGCAAGCGCCGTACCAGACGAGGGAGACCAGTAAACCGGCTTGTATCTCCGGTAAATGAGCCCCTTTTCAACCATTTCCAAAAATACGGCCAATTGCCTACGTTCGAAATCTTTGTTCATCGTAGTATATGCATTTTCCCAATCTCCCATGATCGCCCAGTTCCGGAATCCCTCCATCTGCTGGGAGACGGTCTTTTCTGCAAGCTGTCGAGCAGCTGACCGAATCTGCGCAGCCCCATCTCTCCCAGCCGACCTCAAGTCGCCCAACTCCTTTTGGCCCTGAAGTGCCTTCAGCTCAATTGGGAGGCCGTGACAATCCCATCCAGGTACATAATGAACTCGTTTTCCCTTCGCCAATTGCACGCGACAGATTATATCCTTCAATATCTTATTTAGCGCATGTCCAATGTGCAGATCACCGTTAGCGTATGGCGGCCCATCGTGGAGTGTGAAAGTAGCTGTTGCAGGCCGGTTGCGCTGCTGCCAGCTGTAGAGGTCATCGCTGCATCGTTTGAGATATTTCGACTGGTCAGCCAAAGCTATCCGTGGAGGGAACGTGGATTTCGGAAGCTTTAGCGTCGATGACCAAGATCGCGCGAGGGATCGCGACAGCTCCGGCATGCTCTTGTTTGCATTTCTTCTCGCTGTTGGAATTTCAATTGTTCATGTTGAAAAGCCGATGGGAGAAAAAAGTTGCATGTATTTGCTAATACAGTACGATTAAGCTCTAACCAATAAACGTGCATTATAATTACCAATATCGTACCTTGTTGTAAAATTACGGCGTTGCAATACCAAGAGAAATTCAATATATTTGGTATAAATATTTCTGTATGTCTTCAAAATATATCACGAATGATATCTGTCTTAAAATATCTCATGCAAGCAAAGTATTCAAACGCCTGCCCAACCCGATCCTAACCCAGATATGTACCATATGTATGAAAGAAATTCACAAATCGCAACATGTTAATACACAGTCAAACAATTGACAGAGCCATTCTTAAGGACTTCAAAAAGTAGACCCGGGAATCCGTATAGTTCAGTATTCCCCAATGAACTAGGTATTTCTGGGTTATGATCTGTTTTGTTTTTATTGGATGGATTTTCTTCCCAACTGCCCAATAATTCGATGCTACTTCCCGGAGTCTCACCCCATCCGCGATTGAGCACCATACCCCTCTGGAAGGAAGCTTCTTCTGCAGGGCTAGCATAGCTGCCTCGCCATCGTTCCTTAAGTATTGGAGAAATTTCTCCGTATGGTGTTTCAGATGTGATTGTCTCCTTGTTGGAACCAAAATGTAGCATCCACCTGCAGCGCCTATGTCGGTTGAAAGGGTACGATCCTGGGACATTGCCATGTAGTATGATTTTCGATGTGACAAGTTCTGGTGTACCCCCTGTCGCATATAATTCTCTTGTGGGTGACCCTGGCGAGCGGCGACCAGATGTAGATGGGGCAACTAAGATGTCGAAGCCATGGCTGAAATAATTATAGAAACAGTCACTCGGCAATGCGGATTCTTCATTTGTTGCTGCGCCTGAATCCTCTTCCGATTCATCAGTCAAGGCGCTATCAAATTGTGGATCAATATCTGAGGGATCAGTGGGTGGAGTAGGTAAGTTGCCTCCTCCATTAGTCGTTCCAGCTACATTCTTCTCTCCTTCACCGTGGATTAGGATACGGCTGTCACTTTTTCGATAGATGGCATCTGGGGGCCCTAATTCCGTGATAAGATCTTGAGGAGTTGTTTCGCCGAAAATGATCCAAAAGGGGTTGCTTGATCGCCTGATAAGCTCAATATGTCCGCCCTCATGAACTTTGACGAGTTCAACCTCATCTGCAACAGACTCCTTGTTCTTGCCCATTAGTGCGCTCGATCGTGGGTATTGAGGTTGACGGGTAAACAAGTTGCTTTGCCCATCCGACCAAGATGATCCCTGAAATATTGCCATAGACAAGGCAGCGGATGCAGCAGAGGAAGACATCAGTGAGACAAAATCCTGCTTTTCTGTCCATGCGCTATGCAATAGAGAGAATGAGAATGCAACTCCAGGATATGATAAGACATAGGTCCCATGCGTTTCTCCCGCAACAGGAGGGGTGTACTCTCCGGGATAAGTTGGTCCAAACAACCTGTTGTATATGTGGCGAAACCCAGGACCAAATCCTGGTGGATCAGAGGGTGATTTTGATGGCTTTACTACCTCATGGGTCTTGTAGACGAGGGGGATCTTGCTGAAATCCAAAACTTCTATCAGTCGCAGGCGTTGGTCAGGCCCATCAAAACGAAGTCGCAAACCGTTCTCTGGAAGTTGTAGTATGACAGGCTCCTGGAGAGGTTTGGCGATGTCATAGCCTAGTTCTAATGCCTTGTATATCTCGGGAAGAGACTTAAGACGGGTAACGACGTGGTGCAGTGATGCCCCAAGAGCTACAGATACATCAGCTAGGGCTTAGACAGTAAAGTGGCTGAATGTTAACGTACTGAGGAATCCAAGGGCTCGGCCGGGCAAGACAGGCGCGGGGCTATCTCGAGAGGTAGCCATGATGGTGAAGTATCGCAAGAAGAATCATCAGTACAGATAAGTGTTTCGTCCAGATAAAACGAGACGCATGCCAGGCCAGGAATATTATCTCATCGGCAACTGAGGATAGAAAGGCGTTTGATATAAGTATTTGGACGGAGCGTTACGGGGTCATTCAATGAGGTCATACGCCTGAACCTTGGAGGCCTAGAGGCGACACGTGATCTTGATCACATGTCGTCAAATTACGTAATCATAAAGCTCAGGCCACCGTTGGTTTGTTTACTTTTTCCCTTTTTGGATTAAAAACTGCGTTTCTGTATGAGGGAACCTACCAGCATCTTTCATTTATCTTTGCAGGGTTTATTCCTGATAGGATTTTTTTTTGGTTCATCTGGAGAAGGCGGCCTCGCGACACATATGAAGGGCTCTTTTTGCTTCATTATTGCTAATAACGTACAGTTTTTCTGGAGATGGCCGGGGGCACCAGGCCTCAACCCACACGGGAGTTGAAAAAACCAGCATTGCGAGGTTCAGCCAGACCACGAGCTTCTATTGCCCCTGAACGAGTAGAGACACCGAAAATTTCTTCGCGGACACAGACACCCAGTGCGACACGAGCTCTGAATTCCCCTACTGAAAATGCTGGCAACAAACGAAAGGAGCGTGATTTTGAACAGAATGTTCCCGGCGACACAAATATCCGAGTCATTGTCCGCTGCAGGGGCAGGAGTGGTAGGGAGGTCAAGGAGAATAGTGGCGTTGTTATATCTACTGAAGGAGTGAAAGGGACGACTGTGGAAGTGTCTATGGGTCCCAATGCGCTGGGAAATAAAGAGTATCAATTCGATAAGGTCTTTTCTCCAGCAGCCGACCAAGCTATAATATTTGAGGATGTCGTTGCCCCGATATTAAATGAGGTGCGCTTGCTATTCAACTTTACCAGTGGTACCAAATTACTAATCCCTTTGTCTAGATGCTCTCCGGATACAATTGTACTATATTCGCATATGGCCAAACTGGTACCGGGAAAACGTATACCATGTCAGGCGATATGACAGAGACTCTTGGATTGCTCTCGGACAGTGCTGGTATAATACCGCGCATTCTTCATGCTCTATTTCAAAAGATCGAAGGCGTTGATAGTTCCGTCAAATGCTCCTTTATCGAACTCTACAATGAGGACCTCAGGGACCTTCTTTCGTCTGAAGATAATGTCAAGCTGAAAATATATGAAGAAGGCATGAAGAAGGGCCACAATGGTACCATGATCCAAGGAGTGGGCGAAACATATATCAACTCTGCATCTGCCGGGATTAAACTGCTCCAGGAGGGCAGTCATCGGCGACAGGTCGCTTCAACAAAGTGCAATGACCTCAGTTCACGAAGTCACAGTATTTTCACCATTACCACCTTCCTCAAGCGGATTTCGGACAAGGGTGAAGAATATATATGCAGCGGAAAGCTAAATCTCGTTGATCTTGCGGGGAGTGAAGACATTCGACGTAGTGGTGCTGAAAACAAGAGAGCTACGGAAGCTGGGTCGATAAACAAGAGCTTGCTTACACTTGGACGAGTTATAAATGCTTTGGTTGACAAAAGCCCTCATATACCCTATCGGTAAGCTCTCTTTCACTTTTCTGGATACAATCTGGTCAGCGGTCCACTTACACAGTATAGGGAATCAAAACTCACACGTTTGCTTCAAGACTCCCTGGGAGGCCGTACGAAAACGTGCATAATTGCAACTATTTCCTCTGCCCGTTGCAATTTGGAAGAAACCATGTCCACGCTAGACTACGCTTTTCGGGCAAAGAATATCCGAAATAAGCCTCAGATCAATTCCTCAATTTCCAAAAAAGCGCTACTGCGAGAATTCACAACTGAGATTGAGAAGTTGCGAAGTGATCTAATAGCGACGAGACAGAGAAATGGGGTTTATCTTTCGGCTGAAAACTACGAGGAAATGACTGTGGAAAGCGAATCTCGCCGCATTCTTAGTGAAGAACAACGGGCGAAGATCGAGACAATGGAGATCAACTTGAAAACCAAAGTTCAAGAATACCTCGCTTTGACAAGCAACTTCAACGAGATGAAAAAGAGCAATGAATCAACACGGTCAACGTTAGACCAGACAAAATCTCTTCTGGAACAGACTGAGTTGATTTTGGGCAAGGCTCAGAAGGACCTGGAGGAAGAGACATTGTTGCGCCGTGCGCATCAAGTGACCGAACAGAAACTCCATGATATCGGCTCGAACCTACTCTCGGTTATTGATCAATCTGTAACAGACGTTTCTGGGTTGCATTCTAAGCTTAGGAGGCGGTCAGTTCTTCACAAACAGAATAAGAATGCCTGGGAAGATTGCACTGCCAGGGTTCTGGACGTTGCAAAATCCATTGATGGCAGGATGGCGCTACTTCATTCCCAGCATTCGACTCTGATGAAAGGGCTTACTGCTCGGGTGGAGGCCTTTGTAAGCGGTGAGCTAGAGGCCTTGAAAAAGAGTCGTGCACTTTTTACGGAAACAGAGACCTCTCTTTCAAGGTTTGAAGAAGACTCCAGAAGTCAAAATTACAAGAATCGTGATACTATGAATGAAGTTCTGGAGGAAATAAAGATATTGAGGGAAGATGTGCAAGGAAAAGTTGGGGAAGGATTAAATGGACTCTCTTCTGCGGCGGCGAGGATCTCTGGGGAAGTGATACAGGAACTTCAGCAATTCGATTCTGAGGTAGGTTTTGCACACCATAAGAAACAAAAGCCATGGCTAACCACACTAGTTACACTCCATGTATAACCTATTAACCGTCGATTTTACCGATTTGTTCAAGTCAATTGTGGACCATCTTCACTCTCAAAAAGAAGAAGTTGACGACCTTCGTGCACAGCTCCGGAAGGCTAACGAGGAGGCTAAAAAAGCCAACGAGAAGGCAGCTTCTCGATTGGAATTGACTCTCGAAGAGGAACGACGTGCAGCAGATGAGGAACGTTCTGTGCTAGCTTCACAGATCCAGAACCTCTTAAATGAGTCAAGTGACCGACAAGCAGCTCGCCTCAAAGGCAAAATCGATTGCATCAAGACTGAAGTACAGATATCAGGAAAAACACTTCAGCAATCGCATAATAAATACCTCGAAACTTTGGATAATTGGGATAAAAAGGAGGATGAATTGCTTGAGAAAGTGCTCAAATCAGAATCGGAATTGAAATCTAGGATGAAAGATCATCTAGACGTAAGTTTCTTCTTCTAGTCTCTTATGTTCTCCGCTTTCACTAACACTGCCCTAGCTTTTCATTTCGCGAAACACTTCGATACATGCAACTACCAACACAGTTCATGAACAAACAGTTCATATTGTTGATGAACAAAAGAAGGATATGGCTGTTCAGATGGAAGCCCTTGATGATTTCGTCAGGAGAGCCAGGTCTCAAAACAATCAGCACTGCGAAGCAAGCAATGATATTGCCAACAAACTGGGACAAAGGGTTAGAGATGGGTATCAGCAGCAGCTTCAACAATTGGATGGATTTGAGAAGCGGGAGGCAGCCTTCCAATCGGCCATGCTGTCTGAAAATAAATCTCTTGGAGCCTTAGTGAAAACTGCTATATCCGAGGTTAAACAGCCACTATCTGGTCTTCAATCAGAGGTCCAGGCAACATCTATGGCAGAATATGTGCCAACTGGAACTACTCCCGAGAAGAAAACATACAAATATGAAGCAACACTCCCGCGGACGGAATCACATTCCACTATTCTTGGAAACCTAGGGTCTCCATGTGATCCATCAGCCTCAGCATCTCCTTCATGCACACCGTTAGACTCTCCACCACTACAACATGAGCCTCCCACATCACCAACTAAGTCGATGGTATATCATGACTCAGATAATAATATCGAAGATGAAAAGCCCCCGCCAGCCGACACTCCCGAGGAATCCGGTCAACTATCACCCTCAAAGCTGAGGGAAGTTGATGTGAATGTGATGAACAAACCGAACGCCGAACCAGTGACTGCTGAAACAGGACGCAGTATCGAAAGTTGCAAGGAAACGGAGCCTCCGCCTCTAAAGCGGCACCTTTCGTCTTCCGTCGCCGCTGCATCAAACTTAACTGGCGAGACTAAGATTCCGACGAAACGGATGACACGTCGAAATGCCAGGGGAATAGCAAATGGCGTAGGAGGTGGGCGAGAGAACACTCCAGTCTCTACTCTCAATGTGGGATCAAGAATCAACGCAAGAAGAGTGAGGAGTGGCCCACACCATTAAGTTTATGCCTTTTATACTAGAAAGCGATTTTTTTTTTTTCTGTTTTAGAGCGTGAGTTGACTACATATCGAATGCTTTTTTAGGAGTTGGATTGATGGCCCGGTGGGCCTTTGGGACAAGGCGTATTAGGGTTAGCCGTGCCTAACTTGTACATTTAATAGCCCTATTCAGGACATAGGGCTAATATATACATAATGTTATAAGTGACCGATACTTCAATTGGTTTTGGAATAAAGAATTGTTCTCATAGGTTAAAAATCTGCAAGCGTATTCATACACGATATCCCAATATATTGAGAAAGAATCCTCGCCAAATTTCATCATCCTAAAGCAGTGTAGTTCCCAAGATGGCCCATATAAAGTAAGATCCAATATGATAATATCAACGACGACGCTCCAACGGTAATTGAACGGTAGACAATTGAAGGTTCACTTGCAGTAAAATCCAGACTTCAGCTTTGACCCTGTTCTTCCGGTTGAGGGGAATCTTCTTGGTTTTCTGCATGTGTTACCACCTGTGAAAACGAGTGTTCTCCACTTGCTTCGACGACCTTCTTCAATTCCTCCATACGTCTGGCAAACTGATCCATCATTTCTTCCAGCGTTTGACCAGGCGCCTGCTGCGTCTGCTGTCGTACGGTAGTACTGTCAGAAGCGAGCCCAGAAGTTCCTTCAATCATAAGTACCGTGTTACCGTCGCGATCTGTCGAAGTAGGGCTGTTGGAAGACGAATCAAAATTCGGAGCCGGAGATAGCGATGTATTTATCACTTGCCAGGAAGGCGATAAGCTATGAGCGGATGTTACCTTGAAGTCTTGAAAGACTTGAGGAGCAGGGTGGACGGGTGTTTCTTGGGCATCGGTGGTTTTTGCTTCACCGCCAGCAGCCCTGGTATCATTATCATTTGTATAGGTGGGTTCCATGTCGAGAATGATGAATTGCTCCGATGCAGCTTTAGTTTTCGGGGCTGATTTTCCTTTCTTCTTGTCTTTCTGGGAGATGGATTCTGTGCTCCATGATGATGTCCTTTGGTTATTTGACTCTAGAGATCGAAGAGCTGCTTCGGTTATGAGGCTTGTATCATCATCAGAAAATATGTAGTGCACTGTTGGGTGGAAGTATTCTGACGAGGTTGCATCCCCTATAACCGTAAAAAGGGGCTTAAATGGAGGATGAGTTAGTGCAGAGGTATCTTCAGCTGCTTCATTTTGGGAGACATGTCCACTGTCGTCTTCAACTGCCTCATCTTGTATCATCCCATGGCTGCTTCTGGGGGGTGGTTGGCCGCTGGTATCAAGTTCCGTAGGAGAGACGGATAAACCGGCGATTCTGGGTGATAACGTAGTAGGTGAAACGGCATCCTTAGGAAAAGACATCTTGCGCTTCAAGAGCTACATCGCTTATGATATTCGTATTTTCTTTATTTCTGTTCATTAAACATGGGAGTGAGATGTAAGAGCTGGGGTTGGATGGCTTTGAATTACCTAATCGAGAGAATCAACCACGTGACAAGGGTGGACGAATGGGGAAATATCATGGTTGGGCAGAGGAGTTGAATAGACGCTCTATAGAAGCAGAAATACTACTATTAATAATAATAATCTATTTGATATAAATGTGTAACGAATAGCAACAAAAAGGGTATCCCGCCAGTTTGAATCCCACAAGCTAGTTATACGCCCAACTCCTCGTAGCTACCTGAACACTATTCATTTTGCTTCCATTCAAATTCTAGAACAACTTTGTCAGTCACTGTATCTCTTGGATGAGAAGTGATGTAAAACCTACTCTGTCGACACATAGGGCATAGACCCTTGGCTGAATCTTGTTGAATCCATGTTAAGAGGCAATGCTAGTCAATAAGTTAAAAATAGCCAGTGCTAATGCAGGTTCAAATCGAATCTCACCATATGGAAAGAGTGCCCACATTTGCCGATAACTAGAACTTACGTTAGAATCTTCATTATAGGAGATCAAACGTTTAAACTCACGTAGCGTGCATTCGTCTCCAGGATATTTGCATGTGGGACAAGTGCCATCAAACTGGACTCGACATATGCCACAGACATCGTCTTCCGGCATGTCCCAGCGCCATGTAGCCACAGCATTCCATTGCTTTATAGATACTTTCATTGCTGCGGGGTTTGTCGGCTAGTCAAAGACTGACGAGTTGACAGGGTAGACCAGGGGGGTTGATTCTGATAAGGTTGCGATCTTAGTTCTGGTGGTTGAACTCCCTCACCCGTAGCTATTAGCTGATTATTCCATGAAAGCCTCAAACTCTTTCTGACCCTGTCACATCTTCCACGGCAGCCCGTCTGACGTAAGGCGTATCGTGGAACGAAGAACATGTCAGGGAAGAAGTAAAGTTGTGCGTGTTATGCCATGCCAGGGCCATATTTTTGGTTTAAAGTTGTCCCGTGACTGGCTGATTGACTGCGCCAGTTGCCCAGCCAACTTTATCTCCACGACCCGCATCAGACTTGGATTTCAGATCAAACTACTCCGTACACCATCGCCGGATTGAACAGTACTAATTCGCAAAGAACACCTTCTTAGGGCCATCGTTATGTAAGAGCACAACTATACCTAAGGAGTTTCCCGACAGGCTACTTAGAAATGGCTACCACAATTCTTCGGCTCGCTCGTTTCTCACAGCGTGCCTCCTTCTCTAGGTCTACATTAGCAGCGAATACCTCTCAGCAACGGGCTATGTCACTACAGTCCTATGTAGTTACGCCAAAGGAGCTCCATGAGGCCTTAAAGGAGAATGTGCCAACAAAAATATCCTCTTCTCCTCGGGTTATTCCACTATGTGCCGCTTGGTTCATGCCCAATGATCCAGAGGGTCGCACTGGGCTCATGGCATTTAAGAAGAAAAGAATCCCTAATGCGCGCTTCTTCGACATTGATGTTGTGAAAGATACCAGTTCCCCTTATCCTCATATGCTTCCGTCGAAGGAGAAATTTGCTGAAGCCATGCAATCAATGGGAATTCGTCGTGATGATCGAGTGGTAGTATACGATACGGAAGAACAAGGGATACTCAGTGCTCCTCGCGTTGGATGGACCCTCAGAGTATTTGGACACCCAAATGTGCATGTTTTGAATAATTTCAGGATGTGGGTTAGGGAAGGGTACCCTGTCGAGGAAGGCGAAGTGACTCCCAATGAGCCATCAGACTACATAGTGGATGAATACCATCCGAACAGAGTGGTCCTCTTTGAAGAGATGAAGGAAATGGGGCAAGATTACGGGAAAGAAGGTTCCGATGCGGTCCAGATCTTAGACGCCCGGCCTGCTGGTCGATGGGCGGGAACAGACAAGGAGCCCAGAGCTGGGCTTTCCTCGGGTCATATGCCGGGATCACAGTGCATACCACTTGGAGAATACCTTGACCCAGAGACGAAAACACTGCGCTCTCCTGACGAGTTACGGCAATTATTCGAGTCAAAGGGAGTTGATCGAAATCGGCCGGTAATCACCACTTGTGGATCTGGAGTTACGGCTGCCGTTATTGATCTTGCATTGGAACAGGCGGATTACATCCCCCAGGAAAACAGACGAGTGTATGACGGAAGTTGGACGTAAGTTGACTTGCTCCCCTTACTGCATACCCCTGCCTTGGATCTAACGTCATCTAGTGAATGGGCGTCGAGAGTGACGGAAGAGAGTGGCCTTATCCGGAAGATCTAACAATTTGAATTGGCTGGTGGTACACTAACCGAAAATCTGTCCCAATTTTTTTTTCCTTCTTTTCTTGGATCAGCAGGTAGTTTGCTGGATTTACGTGCGCATCTGAAAGGAAATGAATGAGATCAGTACCACAAAGGTCTTATGACAACGTTAATGATAAGCGATTGTGTCTCCTCGCTTTGTATCTATTACGTATTTCACTTTTTATCGCCTTAATTTCATTTTGCCCCCGTTATTTTTAATATTAGCAAGCGGAAAGGACCGCTTAGTCATGCTGTCCCCTCAATATCTTTTCGCAAGTTCTCGACTTCATGTTGAATCATTTCTCGCTCCAGGCTGTGTTTCTTCATCAACGGTGGAAGCAGTCTTTTGTCGCATTCACAGAAAGCCGCAGCTTCGTCCAGCGCTGCATATATGCCTAGCTGGTTAAAGATGCTTGAATTCGCTCTCTACCCTGTCCTCAACTATTCCTGTAAGTTGATGGAAAGTCCCCGTCAAAGCGCAGCGTTCTGCTCAGCCATATATATACTGTGCAACATGGGTTACTGACCTCGCCTCTATCACTCATTAGACCATCTAGAATCGACCTTATAACTGGCACTAATGTGCTTGAATCATTCGCAGAGATAAAAATCGCCTTACAATCCATCGGTATAGCCTCCACTTTACCTCTCCGCATGGTCCTCGTTTAACAACCCCCAGTCAAGCAATCATCACCTCCGGCAACCTATCGGGAACTCTATCTCATAGAGATTCGCCTTTACAGCCATCATGTCTGTTGGCCGAAAGGTATTCCACTGTGTGGTTGATGAAACCTGTCTTACCACCAACCTCGGAGAAATCAAGAAGTGGACGTCGCAGGATGCTATTGCCCTCATCGTGCCGTTATACAGTATGTGCTGCAGCTCGGCGACCGTCACCTTGGTTGCTTTGAATTCTTCTCACTAACACTACATAGCCCTTGAGCGTCTCCATATTCTAAAGAAAGGTGGCTCCCAGAGTGGTATCAACGCGCGCGAGGCCGTCCGCTTCCTCGATCGTGTTACGTCCGGGAAACATAACATTTCAGCTGAGAAGGTAACTCTTCAAGGGCCTATGGAACAATTTTCAAGATGGGGAGATGCCGAGAAATACATTCTTCCTGAATTCAAAGAAGAAGCCCCTGCTACTCCCGCCCATGACACCGTTGAATATACGCTCAAGGAAGAGAAATCCCCGGCAGGAGATATCCAGCCCAATGCTCCCAGCGCCCGTGAAATAAACGACATGTCGCAGATGCTTCTGAGCAAGTTGAACTTCAAAAAGGACAAAGAACCGTGCTCCACTTCTGCTGCCTCTGCCGGGACTTCTAGCGGCCCTGCATCACCTACGTCTGGTGGTTCCCGTGCGAGCCCTGAGTGCTCATCCCGTCAACTGGAAAATGATGCAGTTAACGGTGAAGCAGCTATTAATAATGAGGACCCTAGTGCTAGCGTGAAATATGTTGCTCCTGCCGTCCCCAACGTCTTAAAACCGCTCTTGAACGCTGTCCTATGGCGGTTGCATGCCCTCCCTACTATATCAGCTCCCCAATCTAGCTGCATCCTCGTCACAAATGACAGAGAGACCCAGGTTTGGGCCCAGAAGTTCGGTATTATTGTGAAGAATATAGCTCAACTCCGCACGTCCATCATCTACGAGGAAAAGGAATTCAAAAATCATTGCAAATATATGGAAAAGAACCAGAAGGAGAATCCGAATCAAAATCCGACCGAACCAAAGCCTTTGCTGTCCTACGAGGATGAGAGTGATGAGGATGTTCTAGTTTTCGTGCCACGAAAGCAAGGAAAAGCCGGACAGCAGACACCAGCACGGACTCCCGTCAAGAATACACCAGGACGCGGCAATAAAATGGCTACCAACAATTCCACTAGCGCTGGACGGCCCAGAGCTCCTTCAACTGCCGCTGAAACTACTCCGCTGGAGGTACCTTCGGCTCCAATTGACCCGGACTCGTTCAGCCGTAGCATCGGAATGACCAAGCAAAACACGTCCCCCAATGGCAATCCGTCTCCAACGCCAGCAAACCGCAGCTCATCCAATCCGAACCCCCGAGGAAACGGAAATCGCCGTGGTGGACCTCGCGGTGGAGGTTTTAGGGGAGCCGCACGTGGGCGTGGAAAGCTCTGGGTTCCTTGAACAAGACGCCATGCTCCCGTTTGCTTCTATATTGATATCTAGATGCTGGGAGCTGGTATTACGCTTTTCTTTCTCAGAACTCGCCAACCTTTCTTAACCCGAGGAAGATGGTTAAATATGGAAGGATGAAACCTGCAGGAATGCGCACGTCTTTCGAAAGGCTTTTTACAATCGTCCATGTCGATATACCGGCTGATTGCAATGGGTTGAGGTTCTAACTCATCTCGTTTCTTGAACGTAAAGTTATCTCCTGGTCCTCTATTCGCGTCGGATCAAGATTTCCTAAGTCTGGGTTGTCTTCATCTCAAGAGTGGCGGATCTGCTGTGGTGACTGAGCGAACCCCGACATGCACTGTTTTCCATTCTTCGAAACTCATATCATGATTTTCGAAGAGCATTTTCTTGATCGAAAAATAATAGTATTTGGAAGCAAGCCCAGAGATTGGAGGTGGGCGTACACCTACACCAGTATCGCAGTTGATACGATTTACCCTCATTCTTTTACCCGTTCCCACTGTCACTTTATCGTTGGGTGGCGGAGACCCGTGTGAATTTAGGCGTGCGTTGGACGGGGTTTGTGGTGAGACATGTGCTTTATGAGAAGCCTGTCGATGGTTCCCTTGATTCTCAAATGATGAGCCGATAAACCAGTGTTTTTCCTAAGAGTAGTATTATTCGCAATGATAGTATCAATGCAGCCGTTCATTCATTTAACTATCTTTGGGCTTGATCCATTTAGAGTCTCATCAAAATAACATTAAAGATGATTTTCACGAAGTGTAACATAAATTCGTTCTCTTAAATCATGTCAAATTACTATATCGATTTATAGTTCAGAAGAGCGAGTGTTGTGCGAGACATTGGATAATGACAAAATACGTAGGAATCAACAGTCGCATTACTACAGAAATTTCTGGACCAACCATACCATCTTCGACACAGATTCAAAGGTTGCTTTTGTGATAACAATGTCGTGCTCGTTAGCATTGCGGGGTTTCCTTCCGACTATCTTTTCGAATGGTATGGTCATGTCGCCTGTAATATCGGCGATGCCATTGGAATATCTGGCGTGGACAGTTTCTGTTTTGTATTGACGTGGAGTGTTCCCATTTTTTAAAATCGATTTGGGGGGAATGCCGATTAATTATTATCGTTATAGTAACTTTTGTTTCCGATCCTGCGGACTCTAACCATCCTCTAGCATCCATCTTTAATTTGGTATCAGATTCGGATACCCCAGCCTCTATCACTAGGATCGGCCAGTCGTGATCGGAAAGCGTGAAACTAGCATCTGGTTCTTTCACAAACGTTCCACTCGTTGTTCGTGCTTCTCCCGAGTTAAGAATTTCAAATTCTAGACCCATCTTCATGATCTCTTGGTCAATATACACTTCCAGGCGTCGAGCTGCAATTTCATGGGCTTTTGTAATTATAGCTTCGATAATAAGGATTTTGCCTTGTAGGTTGGCAGTTATTTTTGGGCCTTTATCAGGGTAGATAGTGTCAAGTTCTTGAAGAATTGTAGGTGGCATATTTATGACTATAATATAAGGGCTTTGGGAATCGTCTGAACAACACACTCTAGCCCTTATATTTACCAAGAACCTGATATCCTCCATATTGGTATATTTGACTCGAGGTGTCCCATTAGGGAGTCCGGTCAATAGCGCAGAGTCAATATTCAGTCCACGGTAGATCGTGAGAATCCCGGTACCCCTCTGAGATTTTGAAGTTCATGCTTATCAACGATGAAGCATGTCACTTCATTCATCGAGAAATCAGCAATTCTGGAAGCTTTCCCTCTGACAAGATTCAATGCAAAGTTAAGCACTGCTTGGTGAGAAGGATCGAAGTGCCTATGACACCAGTGTTCATCAATATCCATTCCGTCAACAAGCATTTCTGCAGCTATTGCAGCTGTAACCTCCCTTGTCTCGATGTATATGGTGCAGAGTCCTCTTAATAGTGGCGCAAATCGTGGTAGCGGTAGGGTTGCTATCTGATGTGCCGGTACAGTGTCGAGGAGTTCTTTGCTGTATGTTCCCTGAAACTCATCGTGCTCCTCTGGAGATATGATATTCTGTTCCAGGGGACTCAGACGATAGTACCGATCGGTAAACAAAACTATATAGAATTTTGGTTCTGAGCGAGAGCGAAATCGCGGGAACCCTTTCTTGTATTCCGTGTAGATATTATACTCGGTTTCTGGGGCGATATCCAGTATCTCTGTTGACTGGAATATGGACGCGGCAGTCGTAAGGTCATCTTCACGCACACAAAGTTCAAGGTCCTGTCGCCGGATTAGAGAAAGAGGAAGCACACAGGTATATAAAGGGCTTACTTACATGAACAATACGCGGTGCGTTGTAGTAGTTAAGAGCAAGCTCACCAACAATGCAGACCGATATTCCTGCCCTTTGTAGCAGTTCAAGTAACAACTGCATGACAGAAAACTCCATTTTAGCAAAGTACAAGGGCCAGTATCGAGTTAGATTTGTCGCTGGGTTCAAAATCCCGGTCCGTGTCAGTGAAGATTGTAAATCCCGGTGCGTGCGGTCAAGAGTAGATAGGTGGTAGAACAGTTGAAAAGGAGCCGAAGGTGGTAGAGGCTCAACTCAGGCCCCAGCCAGCTGCTGCCTGCCAAGCTTATAACTAGTTAGTTAGTTAAATAACTAACTAACTAGTTAGAAAGTTAATGGCTATTATTGGTTTGGGGGTCTCACTTCAACCTCTAACGAGACAATAGCTAACGAAATAATACTCAACGTCTCTTTCTAACAAATAATTACAGTACCCCCAGCTATGGGTTCGTATTCCTGACTTCTTTGCTTCCCTAACTACTAAACTCAGGGTGTGGAGTAATATAATTGTCGTCTATTGTTGCCCGCAGCCATTTTGATATCCCAGAGGACGTGTCGAATCTACCCCGATGACTCTCTCCAAGCTTACTCTACCATGGCAGCCTCGAAACTCCACTGCGTTTCAAGTAATGTCAGACTTGCACCTCGAAGTCGGTCAACAATATTCAGACTTCCATATTGAACCACGAGCTCCCCGGCTGATCCTGGCAGGCGATATTGGCCGTCTTGCAGATTATAACGCTTATCGCGAGTTTTTATGCACCCAATGCGAGAACTTCAAGGCCGTCTATCTTGTCTTGGGTAACCATGAATTTTTTGGAGTCTCTCGCCGGGAAGGTCTGCGTCTAGCGGACCAACTCCAAGAAGAACCGCATATGAACGGCAGATTGATCATATTGAATCGGAAAAGGGCTGATATCGATAATATCACTATTCTGGGTTGTACTCTGCATTCACACGTACCACCTGAGTCGGAGCAGATTGTTGCCCACAAAATTAACGACTTCCGCCGTATCCAGGAGTGGACTGTTGCCAATCACAACTCAGAGCATGCTGCAGATTTGAAGTGGTTGGCGGAGGAGATCAGCTCACTGAGAAATACAGGGCCTGGGTCGAAGCGAAAGATTGTTGTCATTACACACCATGCTCCTTCAACCAGGGGAACATCTAAACCCTCAGATGAGGGAAATCCATGGAGTTCTGCCTTTGGGACAGATCTTTTGCATACTTCGCAGAAGTCGTGTCTTGATCATGTGCATTGTTGGATATATGGTCACACCCATCATTCTTCAGAATCTATCCGCGGGCAGGTCAGGCTTGTGAGCAACCAGCGAGGCTACGTACTTCCGGGACAGAGCAGCCAACGTCCTAAAAGCTCAGGAGGCATCATGGCAAAATATTTTGGTTTAAAGGACCATAGCAAAGGCAAGCACAATATCTTTGATATAGGAAAGGTCATCGAGGTCTGAAGTTTGCGGTACTTGTCACTCAAGACGAAGATCATTTATCCTATGTGTTGGCCACTTTAATTACTAGCTGATTTTTTTTTTTTTTCTTCTTAAATATTTTTCCGCTGTGTAAAGAAAAAAAGGTCCCGAAACACAACTCAATCTCTTAGAAAACAGCTAATCTCTCTTATAAAGCAGGATAACTAAGTTCCCACGATGTTAATTTTATGTGTTTCCGGTAGCAAGCAAGCCATTCTGGACGTCACCTGGTTGCGGTGGTGGTAGGTGGTGCAAATCGTAAGCAGCTGCAGCGTTAGTGGCAGCGTCAATATTCAAACCAATACGCTCGAAGCAGTGGTGAAGTTCGGGGTAGCGTTTCAAAGCAAGCCCTACATAGAGGCTGCTGAACTGAGACTTATTCGCTTGAAGTATCGACAAAGCGTATGTTTCCAGCCATCGTAGGTCGGCAGAGTCATGGAACTTACTGCGGGTTGCAGCAGCTCTGAGTTTCCCTTTGAACAGGTAAACTGGGTCCAAAAATGAAGTAGCGCCCGATCCTTGGGTTTCACCAGCTATCTGGGTAACATTTGGTACCACATTTGACATATTGAAAGTTGCGCCTATCAAAGTAAATTAATACGGATTTGGAAAGGAAACTTATACGAGTGACGAGTGATATCACGGGGAGGCTTACCAGGAAAGCCCTCGCAAAAGATTTCGACGAGAACCGCTCTCTCTCGGGTTGGCTTATCAGACCAGAGGAAAGCTACATAATCCCGTCTGGATTGGGGAACCGCAACAAACCCCGATTTGCCGTCTAATATATTCAGAATTTGATCTTTATTCACACAAGCAAGACAGTCGACGTCTTTACTTTCTCGTGGCCCTCCCAGGGCTGCCACCGCGTATCCACCAAATATCCCAAACTTCACACCGTGTGCCGACAGCACCCGGTGCAAAGAAATGGCAGCATCATTTAACCGAAGCTGATGCATTCTGTCGTTCGTCTAAATGTAAAATCCTGATAGTATGGAATGCGAGAGAGAATAAGGGGTCAAATCACATTCCCGGGGGTATAAATATTATGGAAAGATGAAATTCCGTGAGTCATTATGCCTATCCGTTGCTGCAGGCTTTGCAGGGTATTCTAGGCAGCAGTGCTTTTACATCGACCAATTGGTTCATGTCACAGGCACCCCAGCAGACGGGTAGGGGGTTATGCAGGAAGATGCAACAAGTACTTGTCGATACACACATTACTGTGAATATCGCGCAGCCTATGAATGAAATATAGGTAATCAGCGAAATGGAGGGTTTTGGTTGGTCCATATCTCTACTGTACGGTCCATTCACAGCTTTTCCGCTCGCATCTGGACTTAAAGCCTAATCCATTACCCTTTAGGAAAAAGAAGGTAGAATTCAGAAGCGATATGACAAGAGAAATAAAAAAAGTATTGATGCCAGCCCAACAGGATAAGGTCTAGTATAATAGGCTAGGGGAAAACACTTGCGGGGCATTCCCGTTCAAAAATCTCAAATCTGGAGAAAGAGGGAATGAGATACCAACCCGGACATTTATTTATCTATATATTGCCTGTAAGCGGAGACGGCCAAAGAGTACCGTTCAATATCTCGAGGTACCTGTCGAATAATACACATCTGTCTTGGATATTGAGGTCGACTTGATAGAAGTAACTTTTAGTGTTATTGCTGTTGCTCGGCCAACCGTCGGTCAGGTGACCCAAGCGGGGGCGTGACCTCGCCACGAGTCGACGTCGTGTGTTTGGCCAACGGTCACAGCTTCGAGGTACAACGGTCAGAAGTACCTGGTCGTATATATTTGCTAGAGAAGATACTTGGCGCTAGGTATCTTGAGCCGCCCCGTGGCTGGTCTTCGCGGCGAGGGTACCAGGGCCAACGTCACTTTCTTCCTCCTCTCCGCCAGGCAACCGAACGGTGTCCTGCCAACTTTGAACTCCTCCTCGCAGCTAACATCCCCTACACACGTCTCCTCACAACCTACAAGTCACATATAGCTACATCGATAGTTTAGCACATCCCGCTCGTTCAAAAGACAGATACCACCGAGTCTTCCGCCATGTCTGACGCTCCTACAAACTCGACAGTTGAGGTTCCCACCTCCCCTATCAGCGAACGCCGTGACTCGTTGGCGAAATCTCTTCAGTGCCGCCCGGATGCACAAGACCTTAAGAATAGACATATACTACTTGATACCAAAGTAGCTCCGTATGTGCCTGCATTAAGGACCTACTATCCTACTGTCCCAACTTCATGAGAGAGATACACGAAGAAGCGCGAAAAAGAAGCTCATGTTTTGACGTTAAATACAGCTCTCTCCAAGCAGCCCAGCAGGAACTCGCACGCCAGCAGGCCGCCGATTCGCTGAAAAGAGGCCTGGAGAAGAGAGCTGACCGTGATACTCTCGTTGAACGTATGTGGCCCTTTCAATTTTTTGGTCATCGATACCTCCTTTTTCTTTCCATTTTCTTCTTTTCCCCTTAGGGTGGATTGTGATGATGCATATGGTTCGTGTGTTGAAAAATGCCAACCTCATCCGCTGTTTAATCTAATAGGAAACATCCTTCCTGCTTCCAATGCTGCTCCGGCTCTCCAAGGCGCTGCCCGCGAACTCGAAAAGCACATGCGTGCTGACTCGCTTGAGCAAAAGATCCTACACCGACCAACGCCTGAAGACTTGGTGAAGGCTGGGGTCCTAACTGAGGAGGAGAACCCTATTAAGGATTAAGCCCTCTCAAGCTATGCTATTGTCTTTGACCCCCTGATGCAATCTCCTACGTCCGCTGGCTCTGTTGTTCAATCGTGTGTTAAGCATGTGTTCATTCACTCTGGTGGCCATCGGTGCTAATGTCTGTGTGCTCTGTGGAGTGAAATGAAGAGCTTCAGAGTCGGACGGGTTAAATTGCCTAGCTGTTTCTTGTTACCCTTTCTGCGAATGCCATTCCTGCAGACACGTCCTAACTCAAGCATGGCCATGGTGATAGTAGTTAGCATGCGATCGAGATAAATTATGGAAGAAATTGAACTTCTTCATGTTCAAACTCATTAAGGAATATCACAGTCCAAGCTAGCACTCTCGGAGCATAGCCTTCCCTTGTATGTTACACCATAGCTCCGAGCGCCTCCATAACCGTCTTACTACCATGCATCTTTTTCCGCTTTCAAGAGAGAGTAAATCCTCAGTGCGACTCAACCGCAGCAGCGCTGCTCAGGTCCGGCACCCACCCGGAAGGCCGCTCTGTTCCTCGTACTAACAGCCCATACACTGCTCGCTCCACCTTTTCGACACTGGCTTGCATAACCTCTGTCTTCTTGTCTACTTCCTTCCATCCATTCAATCCACGAGGGACATTGAGTTGTTCAAACATTGCCCGGAGCTGACGTAGGTCGGAAAGCACAGCATCTCCACCCATGGAGCCCTCAGACTGCTGGGTCTTATCTTCTTCCTTTATACTTGCTGTTCGGCCAGTAGCCATCGTAGTGATAGCGAATCGCATCATTTCACCAGTCAAATCGTAAAGTCCAAGCACATAGTCCGCTTCTGTGACTTTAATACCGGCTGGTAGTGTCTGTGAAACCTCTTCCAAGGTGATGAGTTGTTTCTTCTCGAGGTACCGGTGGAATGATATGGCTTCGATGTACTCTTGGATTCCCCATGTGATTTGATGGTATCTGTACGCGTTGGCGCCAGACACATCTGCTTCAATAGACTTGAAGAGCTCTTGTATTTGTTTTATACGGTCGTCCGTTTCCTTTGCAATTTTGGGAGGGATTGGTGCATTCACTGTGCGAACTCTAAAGGGGGATAAGGATAATTAGTGTGGAGTGTATGAATGCCGAGAGCAGTAGAGAGACGCTACCTTTGCAAGGAGAATATTCTAAAAAAGGGCGATCATTAGTATTGGTTGTAAGATAGAAGACAATAGTGTGAAAGGGTGCACTGTAGCTCAGAGACGGTTTCTATAGACTCACATCTTCTTGCTTAAAGCTGTGATATCTCTGGATGCTTTCACAACGCGTTCCCTTCGGTCATGATGCTCATCAAGCTCATTGCGGAACCCAGTAAAGATAGACTGGATAGAAGATACATCAGGCGAGGTATCCATCTTTTCAGTGTCTGGATGGTTTGCTATCACGTTGCCATCCCGCGCTCGCTTGTTGCCAGCCATATGGTTGTTAGTGTCAGCTAATAAGTCCTTCTGTCCCTCCAGCTTTAGTCTCTTTCATTCTTTCATCTTGGCTCTCTCGATGTTTATCAGAGTCAAAGCTCGCGATAAGGATAAGCAGGATTATGTAAGTGATGGCCGTTAAAATCACAAAGGTTTAGATATTAGTAAGAAGGATTATCCAATAAAAACCTGCCGTTCTTGCAGAATGTCCGAGCGCCCCGCCATAGCCGCGTACGCTTTATCCGGGGTCAACAACAACCCAGCAATCTACACGTCGACTTCGCTTTCGGCCTGCTTGATAAGATCTCGCTGTATCAAAAGGGGCCGTGGCTTTTCTCCTTTGCCTTCGCTATAGTTCAGCAACAGACACTCGTTCAGACCCAGCAGTTGGCCCGTTGCTTGGTCGGCTCCCGAATTGGCCAAAGGGGCCAGATGTTCATGTTTTCCACAAAAGCAGCAGGCCATACCATTTAGACGAAATCCACAGCTGCATAATCCTGGACCCAGGACAGCCAAAGAAGGATTTTTTTTTTAAACCCTCCCCCAAAACGCTCCATAATGGCGTGGTTTTTTAGCTCTCCCTACCTCGTGTTTGGGGCCGCGATATTTCTTCGAGTTGTTCTCTTGTTTTACGGCCTCTATCAGGACTCTCATTCGCCCATGAAGTATACCGACATCGACTACTATGTTTTCACTGATGCCGCCAAATTTGTCTCGGAAGGCCAGTCGCCGTATGATAGAGCAACTTACAGATACACGCCATTACTTGCATGGATTCTTCTCCCGACCACATGGACCGGCCTCGGGGGTCAGCAAGTCTGGTTCTCCTTTGGCAAAGCTTTGTTTGCTGTCTCTGATATCATTGCGGGATGGCTGATCCTGCATGTTCTCCGCTCCCATCAACGAATGGATATGCAGCGGGCTCTTAAATTTTCAAGCATCTGGCTGCTGAATCCCATGGTTGCTACTATTAGCACCCGAGGGAGCTCAGAGGGGTTTCTATGCGTTATGATCATGGCGCTACTCTGGGCCGTTCTAGAGAAACGAACTATACTAGCTGGCGTCCTTTTGGGTTTCGGCATACATTTCAAAATATACCCTTTCATATATGGCCCGTCCATTATCTGGTTTTTGGAAGACGAGGAAAACGATAGCTTCAACGGGTCGAAAGGGTTTACTCTCGGCAATTTGATCGACTACGTCTGTCGGCTTCTAACGCCTCAGCGTATAATCCTTGGCTTGACTTCCCTTGTTGTGTTTGCAGGGCTGAATGTCGCTATGTATATGCTTTATGGAACTCCTTTCTTGCAACATACCTACTTCCACCATGTCACTCGCGTCGACCATCGCCACAACTTCTCCCCTTACAATATGTTACTCTACCTTTCTTCATCCGAGATCTCCCAAGGCATTCCCGGGAATAACTTTGAATCTCTCGCTTTTCTACCTCAATTAGGTCTTTCAGCTATCCTTATACCGCTCGCGTTGGCCAAGAGGGATCTTGCTGGAAGCATGTTAAGCCAAACATTTGCATTTGTCACCTTCAACAAAGTCTGTACAAGCCAGGTATGTGTGTGTCCTTTTCGTCAACAATGTAGGCTCGGGTCTGTGGATTCTCCAGCGTGGTTGCTGATTCAGATGTAGTATTTCCTCTGGTACCTTGTGTTTTTACCGCTGTATCTCCCCTATTCCTCTCTCATCAAACAACCGCTTTTCGGAATTACTGTTGCCGCTCTGTGGGCAGGCGCACAGGTAAGCTACACACTCTTATGCCGAGATTGATTACCATTTGAATTAGGGATACTAACTAGTCACCTCTGCTAGGCACTCTGGCTTCATCAAGGTTTCCAGCTTGAGTTCCTTGGGGTTTCAACCTTTGTTCCAGGGCTATATTTCTCCTCCCTTGCATTTTTCGTGATAAATATCTGGATTCTGGGTATTATTATTTCGGACATCAAGAATCTTCCTCGGGCAGGAAAGGGCAAAGCTAACAATCGGAGCCCTGCCGCGGTGAAGAAAGATATATAGCTTTTGAAATAATATTGACCTTTTACAATAATACTATATGTCTTCAAGTCAGTGAACTAGTTCTTTTTGAGGATCAGGAAATAGTATTAAAATCTGGCTATACAGACGTATCTCAAACAAATAAGATAAGAACAAAGAGACAGAGACAGAGGCAGAGAGACAGAAAGAAGAGACAGATCCCATGAGCCTTAAGAAGGAGAAATTAACAGGAAGTTAGTAGACAGACAGACGGGGCAGGTCCGACAGGCTTACAACTCAGGACGCCATTGCCATGCGTGACAAACAAATATTGGAACCTTGGAAGCAGCAAAGATCCTGTCATTTTAAAAAAAAAAATAAAAGTAAATGAAAAAAAACAGGTCGGGCCAGGCCATTTCTTTGGTGGTTCCACTTTCAACTCTCTCACTTCCGCTAATCACCTTAATTAAACCTTTTTGTGTGTTCTTTCCGCGCCCAGTTCTCCTGACACCATGCAATACAGGCCAAATAGCAGAAAGGGGGTAATTTCGACAGATGTTTATTTCCCTGAATCAAGTGTGGTAAGGGGAGGAAGGGTGAAGGGGGGGGAAAGGGGATATTTTCGAAGATGTCGACTTTTCTCCACGATCTAGCCATGAAAGGGAGGAAAGGAAGTAGATTTTTAGTAAGGAAAAAAAAATCAATAGTCTGTGTAAAATATTGTAGTAAGCTTCGGTAACGCTTGAACGAGATGACGATGACTAGGATGATGTTGAGCCATGGCTGTGACCCTAGAAGGAAGAAGTAGGCTGGCCATGGCGAAGATGGAGGGTGGTAAATGGGCGATGGGTCAAGTCAAGGCTTTGACTTGTCGGCGATAATGCGGTAGCAGCTGGTTTTGATGCTAAGAGGCCTGCTTCGGGGATATGATCGCGTGCCTGTTCGGGAGTTGATGCCGTAATCTTCAAGGATACCATTATTTAGCTCTGCGAACTGCGCCTCTGGCCTGTTTTCTTCGAGCGTTTTAAGGATAGCCTCGCTCCATACGCCCGTGCAGGTGTTGCCGACTAACTGGAAATACGGGTTTAAGAGGCCACAGATAGAGTCGAGATCTATAAACCGGATGCGAATGTATTGGAGGGCGGGTAGTGCTCCGAGCGAGTGAATGGCAGCGATAACTAGCTTTTCAAACTCGATGATGAAGGACATGTTAGTGATGCCGGATATGTCGGTTGGTATGAGGGAGCCATCGTCGGATTCATGGCCCCAGCAGCAGGCCTTGACGACCAGGTCCACTGATTTCAGCTTTGATTTGCGCTGGGAGGAGAGCACTGCTGCTCTGCCGGAGAGGAAGAGGCTGGCGCAGACCTTGCCGGTGAACGTCAGGGATTCCAGCTGAGGGAGGATGGCGCCGAACAGCCGGCAAAGGTGCTTTTCGTCTTGCGGGTTGAGGAATCCACGTGAGCTCGTCTTACTGCAGAAGCCGTCGAGGCTGATATTAAGCCGGGTCAGCTGAGGTGGGAAGGTCCTGAGAACCTTTGAGATGGTGATGTGAGCTTCGCGTTTGGACTTGGCGTAGAAGCAGTGCCATTCGCGAAGGTTAGGCAAGGCTGTGGATAGATTGGTCCAGTGGCTGTAGTCGCGCATGATGTTCCATGCGCCTTTCATGATGAAAGTCTGGATGTTTGGGAGAGGAGTAAGCGACTCGAGTCCGCTGTCCCCCCACGGATCGCTCTCAAAGTGTCTGATCATGGGAGGCTTTTTGCAGTGTCCGCCTTCCAGAGTCATCATCTTTGCATCAGGAAACTGAGACGCAACGCTCTCAAAGATCTGTTGTAAGGTAGCATTGTGACTGGCCGACTTGAAGTTGCAGTTCGTCCGGCTACTGGAAAGGGCATCCAGGCCGTGCATGTACGACTCCATGGTGTTGGTTTCGATGACGCCAAAGTTTGCCTGTCCGCTCTCCCGGCGACTGGGAGGAGAGAAATGAGATTTCCTCAGACGATCGCCCCAAACGGGGACCCATATTTCGATGTGCCGGACGTATGGTTTAAGGTGAGGGTGTGCATCGAACCATTTGGCACATTCTGCCAGACAGTCTGTCGTTCCCTTGACTTGAACTGTACAAAAGAGAAGAAGAAAAAAAAGCACGCCAATTAGTATAAATACGCTCGTTATCGATCATGATCCGTAATGTGGCTTTTTAGTATTCTACTCACTGTGACGGTAGATCCTGCCCTGGACCAGGGCTCTGTATGCCCGTGAGACCAGGGCGAGGTCAGACAGGGCCTTTCTACGAGGGTGTCGGAGTGCCTTGCTCCAGCTTGAAGTGGTGACTGTTGCAGAGGTGATAGAGGCAAGCGTCGAGCCACGGACTCCAAGGATATGGTCGAGGATGGTCTCGTGTATTTCCGGCGGCAGATCGCTGAAGTGCGTAGACGAGAGGTCTGGGTTGTCTGCAGCAGCCGAGTAGTCCATGTCTACATCAGCCACGGGACAGGAGGCCGGCGGCAGCAGTTTCGTCTTCAGGTCGTCTGTCGAGGGCACGGAGAGCGTGATGGCGTGGAGAGGCGGTTCGGAGGTGTTTAATGAGGCCGTCGTGGTCAGCAAAGGGGAGACGTCCCCCGACTGTATATCGACTGACGACAGCATCGTGTGCCCAGGACAGGAGAAAAGCCTTTCTCTGCTGCTCTCCTCATCCAAGTGGTTCTTGTTTGTGCAACTATATCCCAGGGACTGTCATATAGCAAGAAAACCAATATTTAATTAGCACCACGAACGCGATATGACATGGACGGCCGTCGGTGTCCCGTCCACCCCCCCCGTCTGTCCCCCTTTTTTTATGACAATATAGCAGCATATTAAACAGGACAGAACAGGACGGGCTATGGGGGTGTTTTACATACCTGCAAGTCAACCAGCCCTTTTCCCGACCGTTGAGAGCCGGCCACACCCCAAAGAGGCCCCCTCACCAGCCCTGCAATAAGGGTTTATTACCCTGGCCGCTGCCCTTTTTTTTTTTCCTTTGTCGAGATAAGAGACGGGCACCACGGCGAAACGGCGAGTTGCAGGTTGTGTTTCTGCGTGGTGCGAGCCAGTTGGGACGACGAGAAGGACAACGACGAGGAGGAGGAAGAGGAGGAGGACGAGGACGAGGAGGACAGGTGGTTTAGCCGGGGTATCCTTTATCGCTGCCGGCGAGAATTTTCAAAAGGGATGCAGAGGCGATCGGAGCAGGATAAGATAAGGGCGGAGCATGTGACCTCCCCCGGCGCGTAACTTGCTAGTCTTTTTAAGTAGTTTTAAGTAGTGCTAGCAGGCGACTCGGGTGGCTCCAGCGGCTAGTTCGCGAGACAGCGAGATGCGAGGGCGTAGGGGGACGCGCAGAGCCGACAATTGCAGTGAAGAAGAGACTGCGAAGACGATGATGAAGTCGTGAAAGTCGAGAAGCTGGAAAAAGTTGGAGATTTTCTGGTTGCAGCAGCAGAAGAAGAAGCAAAAAGTAAAAAAAAGAAGCAAAAAGCGCGATTTGGGCGTCAAAAAAAAAAAAAAAAAAAAGAAGGCGCAAGGCGGTGGGGACAGGCAGAAAAATAAAAAGGCGTGACTTGGCAGAAAAAATAAGGGAGGCCCTTTTAGGAAGGCGGCGAGGGTTTGTCCACGTGGTCTTTATAGATTGGAAGTAGAAGTAGAAGTAGAGAGTAGAAGATAGAGGGTAGAGAGTAGAGATAGAGATAGAGATAGAGGAGGCCATTAGATCATTAGATTAGGTAGGTTCTAGTGCATAGCTAATTCTAGAGACGCTGGTTGACATGGTTTTTTTGGAAGATATAGAAGATGTTTTTTTGGCCAGTGGGGACTTCCACTTATTCTTTACCTGGAACAGCAAGGCCCTTCCTTCACTGACCACCGGCAACCAGCGACAACGGTACATAAGTAACCACTCCTGACGTCATTCTGTGCCTTGACTAGGCTTGATAAAAAAAAAACACTCAAAAAGTGCGAAAGAAAAAACATTTCCTGGCTGTTAACACACTTGGGTGAGGAGACAAACTGGTCCATTGAAGCCACACGGGCATTCATTAGACTGGCCGGTGCTTCACTCTTGGTTCACTGAACTATGGCATGATACAGTAAACGCAGCTCAATCCTAGCATTGGTACCTGAGGGGAGTCAGTAGTTGAAGTTGAAACCAAAGATGACATGGTAGGCAGGCAACCCGGACCAAGGTAGACTAGCCAGGGCCAGGGCTGTCAGGACAAAACCCTCCAGAACTTGATGCTTGATGCTGGACAGCACTTGGACATCATCTTCCTCCTCGGCTCTCTCGTATAAATATGCAGGAATGGAGCGTCAGGGCCAGAAACGCTGGTGGTTCTCGTATCGAAATCGCCGCCTAAGTCCCCTCTGGCCTGGGAGGCGCCAAAGCTTCCCGGTTTCCCGACAGCCGAAAAGCCGGGGAAAGTGTCACGTGATATATAGGGGGTAGGTACCTTAATTCAATTGAGGGTGGGAGAGATTGATTTATCATGTCTTGTGTTTAGGGTCTGTGATTAGGAGAAGACACAAGGCACACAGCTAATGCCAGGGAACCTCGGCTGTGCAGTCCCAGCCTCGGAGCAGCCAGTTGCCGATGCCCTCGTACTGGCCGTAGAGGACCTCGTCGGGGATGATCGAGGTAGGCTCCTCTACCCCAAAGGCAAGCTGGGTATTATGGTCTATCACCGACGCGAGAGGCAGATATTCGTCGACGGGGGCCGAAGCAGAGTCCATCGGTGTTTTCAGCTCGGCGAGTATCCCTGCGGTCATCATGTCAGATACCGTCCTGGCATACTGGTCGTCTTCCTGCCTGCCCGAATCGACGATGTCGTGCGGGTAATGGGCGAGCATGACGTCTCCAAGCCGGCATAGATCGGTGCCAAAGCCGCAGAAGGTTGCCTGTTGATCGCTTGTAAGTGGAGTAGGTTGGGGCCGCTCTGAGGGCCGAGCAGCCTTTGCAGTCTCGTCGATCATGCTCTGCAGGGCCTTGAGGCTGCCGATGGCAG